AACCGTGCATGGAGCAACATCTGTTAGAGTGAGCACATAAAGTACACCCCTCGGCTCCACCTGGAAGTAAATTGCTTGTGCTTTTGAAGAATGCTCTGAAGAAGATGCAGCCTGCTGCAAATTGGCATATCTTAAAGTACTTAGAAGGTTAGAATAAAAAACTAAAATGTTATTTTATCTAAATTAGTCTTATCTCTTAAGAGCATTTCCATAAACCTCTATAGAAACTAAGATAATAGTGATTGTAGTTTTATGCTAAAATAGCTTTAAAGCATATGAGTGGACTTGAACTGACAGAAAAAAAGGTTTATTTTGTTTATACCAGCCCTGGATCTGGAAGATACCTCATAAATGATTAAGAGACTTTCAACCAGCAAGTTCCTTCCACAGCTGTGGCAGCACTGCTTTCCACCAAGTGGTTTTTCGAGTTGGGGTCAGACGATGTTGGTTGCCAACAGGTCGCTGGAACAACTTGTGAAATTAAGGGGAGTATCAAATGTGAAATTGGAGTTGTCTTCTTTCTGTTTACAGTTGAAACCATTTCTTTCATGCATTGTTTCAAACAAGGGCTCCACAGTGAGAGACAACAAGAAAGCCCTAACTTCAAATCTCAATGTGGGATCTTTCTGCATTGAGTTTGCATGTTTGGGTTTTCTCCAGTACGCTGGCTTTTCCCCACAATGCTAAAACAGAATAATTGGCCTCTCTCTATTGAAGGTGAGGTTGAATGCTATTTATTTTGGGGTCATTAGTGAGCAGCAAACTTGAGCAACTTACCCTTTCATCAATTCGACACAAACAAAGTTATTTTGTTTTACGACTAATATAAGCCAAAGCCACAACAACAGCTGCATGTACTGCCACCTAAATGGTGTGACTACTTTCTCAAATGATCATGAGTCACAGTAAACAGGCAAACACTGCCCCTCATGTGTCAGATCCAGCAGACCAGCTGTTGGAGAGACGAAAATTAAAGGTTAGCTCGCCATCTAGTGGTAGACACTGTAGCATTGCATGTTTTTAAGCAATTATTTTGTTCTTTTAAAACTCCTCTGACATTATCTTAGATAGCAACCTAGTGATTTAGTCTTTATTATTTAAAGAAATAAACAGTGTCTTAATTTTATTTTAACAATAAAGTATCCAAATAATGTGTCAACTCTGGTTAGCTGCCAAAACTTCGTTATCTCTTTACAGGATTTATGAGGTGCTATTTTCATCCATCCATTTTCTTACACTCTTGTCCCCAGAGGGGTCGGGAGGTGCTGGTGTCCATCTCCAGCAAACGTTCCGGGCGAGAGGCGGGGTCACCCTGGACAGGTCGTCAGTCTGTCGCAGACCAAAGGTGCTATTATAAAATAACTATTTATTGTGAGAAATAGTGAGTTATTCATCTGGAATCCAAACATCAAAATATGAAAACGATGAGAATAAATAAGAATTTTCAGTCAGATATTGTTAATTTTTCTTTAGATTTTCACATATAGTTCAGTGCATGCCTATTCTTAGAGCTTTATAAAGCATTTCCTGTATTTTTCTTCACTGTACCGTGACATATGAGTCTTTCATATTCTTAAAAAAAAGAAAAATCAAAGCTTCTAAATATCAAACCAGCTATCCTGCTGATGCAGCGTTGATCGCCCAGGGTAAATTCAATGAAAAACATTCAGCTCCTGTTTGTTTCTTTGTGTTGGACAGCAGCAGGGATTTTAGGCTGCTGTGGTAAAACTTGAGGGTTTTGTCAGCTTTATTTTATATTATTTTTTTACATTTTATAATCTGAAAGGAACAAAATGTAGCACTGTGTGTTCTTTTTATAATAAGGGAATTTATTGTGACACATCAACTATATCAATAAGAGAGAGAAAAAAAATGTCTGTGGTGCCGTTAAATTACATTTCAAAACTATTTTACACTTGTTGGAAAAACTCCTTCCAATGTGTGAAATACCAGGCATGATGAAAAATCAACAAGGCAAAAAGCAGAACTCAAAACTTTAACAAAAGCAGCTTTGTGGTCTCAGCTTTAATTGCCAAGAGCAATAATTGCTAAGCATCACAAGCTCTGAAAAGTCCTTCTCATGTTTCAGAGCAGCTGTTATGCAGCTGACAGTAATGACCACACAGGTGTGCAGTTATAACACGTGTCTGGTAAGCTCAGAGTGGGGAGAAAATTTGTGGCAAAATCTTAAGCAAAGCCCAAAGATTTCAATCAGGTTGAGGTCTGGGCTTTGACCAAACGTGGCACCAGATTCAGAGCTACAGAGGAGCTTCCTATATTTTTGATGGTACTGTGATGGGAATTGATCATATGTCTAATTATAACATATTCAACTAATGAATAGTGAGCCTAATGAATACAGAACATGGCAATCTCTGGCACCAAAGAAAAACAAGTCCATTGCAAACCATTTCTTTTGAGATAAAACTGGTATGTATTGTCAAAACTCAAAGACACGTAACAAAGGGAAATTTTTTCACTTATGTCTTTGCAATAGCAAAATGTGCCTGTTGTTGTAATTGGGGACGAATTGTTGAAAAATCTGTCTTGAACATTTTTGAAAGGTCAGCGGTTCAACTCCACCCCATTTCTCAGGTAGTTTCATTCTAATAAGAAAAGTTAAACTGTGTTCACAGCTCACTGATAAACCAAAGATATCAAAGACACTGACATCATCTTAAAGTCTAAAGGTGTGTATTTGAATCGTTGCTTATATAAGAACTAATTGTTAACGGCCCTTTCCTGTAATTTGGTGGAGCTCTGGCCTCTAGTTCTCCTCACTGACCAGTGCTAAAAAAGTGATGCAACATCACTTTAAAACATGTTGATTCTCAAACAAACATGAAGGATATTTTTTCTGAATTGTTTTTGATTCTGCCAGTATATTTGATTGATGTTTGATATCCTGTTGGCACACCCATGTCTGAACCAAGCACTCGCCTTCGGATGAAAAGAAAAAATTGTATTGATGAGAAAACTTTTACAAAACAGAGAGTGAATTTTACAACAACAATGTCAAGTATTTTTAGAGGAGTCAATGTGGCGCTTTGAACAAGCTGTCAGGGGCTTCAGTATCATGCTAAGGGTCTGTGCAAACTGGTGGAAGTAATGCAAATGGGGGACGTTTAAAAGGTTTTAAAAAATAATATTCTTAAGAAGAAGTCCAGTTACCTTTTGCTTAACATGTTGGATTGACATGTACTGGATGACAGAGTCCTCATCAGTGACACATTTGGATTTCCCAACAGGACAATGATTAAAACTAATTAAAACTAGTTTGGGTTGTGGAATGGATGGAGCTGTAAGTTTCTGTATTGGTTCCAGCCTCTCCTCCAAAGTGGTAGGTATCAGGAACCAACTACTTTAAATTAATCCTAATTTTGATAACTGGAGAAGTGAAGTAAACAGTAAGAATTATGCATGATGTTTGTTGAGAGCTTTAAAAAGAAAACCCCTCAGTTTTTAGTTTTCATCACATTTGTTGCCTGTGTGTTTCACATTTAAAAAAGAATGGTTGAAATGCCTCTTGTAGACCAACATTGCTAAAAGTCTAACAAACTCAGTTCAGATGACTAGATTTTCTGCTTGAGCTTAAAACTTTTCTTGAGGAACTTTTGACTTTCCTGCTTGACTGATTTGCCTTGCAGACAGCTGAACCAACTCCACAGGCCAGAAGTTACTCTGCTAAACTCAATCCGAATGCTAATTGATCCAAATTGCTTTGATTCATGGAGATTACTTTCAAATTATTTGCAGGGGAAGTACATTTTACAGTTATTCTGCACTAGATTGATTTTTAATCACTTGAAACTATAATTGTGGCTTGTCCTTCAGTTCCTTAGACTAATAGACCATTAAATGATGTTGACATCCAGCCAGTCAGTGTTTCGCATTGTGTGGTTTCCAGTTTCTGTGCACAATGTAGTCAAACAAATCATGTAAAATATTTGTCTATTCTGTTTGTTGTGCCACTTAATAGAAGAAGGTTTCCATGAAAAATGATGCTTTGGATGATTGAAAATTGGACATCGCCTTTAATGCACCATCCCTGCATTAAACTTAATGATGGCTGCATCGTTCTCTGGAGATACTTTTCTGCATCAGGAACAGAAAAGCAGGCCAAATGTATATTTACTTATTAAAGTATTCCAGCAATTTACAAAATATGTCATTAAATAAATAAATAACTGAATGTGGAAATCACTCTTCAAACTTTTTATTCATTGTATGTTCCAAGGCATGTCAGTATAGTTACTGATAGATGGAAGTGATATTCAGTTAAACTGCTGTGAAGGTTAGACAATTTAATACATAAACTATCAATGTATTAGTTATGCATACATTGATATTACAGATATATATAGTAAACATAAAGAAAAAGTAAATTCAAATAATTTGACCTACTTATTAATGTGTGCAGAAATAATTGTTTTGCACATTTGTATATGTTTGTGAATATTTTTTAACTTATTCAATGCACTTCACAGTTACTTTGAATTGTCACATGTATGAATATTTCTCTGGGTAATTATGTATTTATTCAACAATGGCAGTTTGGAGAATAAAAACTGGTTGGAGCTCATATTTGGTTTAAGTGCTTTGTTTTCTTTTGACAGCAGTTTTTTTTATTACTTTTTTTTTAAATAGCTTCGAAGGTAAATTCTATAATATGTGTTAAAGCTCACATTTAAACACTACCGTGCGTTAGTTTGTGACGCAACATTCCAAAAAATCACATTGAGGTTTGAGGTTCCGACGTGACAAACAAAACAATTACAAAACATTTGACGGTTTTGTGAAATAATCCGCGGGCTTGCAGGTATGAATCCAACCTGCGTTGACTGCGGATGCTGCAAAAATGTCCACGAAATATTCCAACCGGCCTGCAGGCTTCTCATGCTGCGCAACCACATTTCCAGAATACCAGGATTATATGGTTCTGCGGCGTGCGTGCGTGGGGGGCAACCCCAACTCACCCTCCATCTGATGGCAGCATCAGGCAGTCCCGTGAAACGCTTGCGTGGGAGTTCCCTCCACCGCCATGTCGGGATGGTGCACATCGCTCCCTTTCTCCCTCTCTCCCTCTCTCTCTTTCTCCACACATCCTCCCCCACATTATAACAGCTTAGCACGGCAGAAGTAGATCCTACAGCATCCAGCAGCCAGCATCCCTCTATCCCTGCCTGGGGAGCAGCAGTCCTACCCGGCGCAACACCGTGTGAGTGATGCCACAGCATCATCCGCATTTCGACACCAAATAATCGAGAGTTAATCCCGCAAAGGAGAGCTTGGGGTGAGGGAAAATTTGCTTCAGCCTCGAAGACGACAACTGCCCATGAAGATGTCTAACGCTGACACCGTCTTAAACCCCACCGATCGGGTGGTAAAATGTAAGTTAGCCTACATTTTCCGCTCGGATGTGGCTGCATTACATAATATCCCAGGCGCTGCGGTTAAAGAGGGTTTTGTGTGTGTGTGTGTGTGTGTGGGGGGGGGGGGACGTGTCCTTTGCTGTTATTTTTATCGTGCCAAAATGATTGATCAAGTTGCGTTGGTTGAGAGGTTATAGTGGACAAGAGAAGCTTTGATGTTGATAAACAATCCCAGGTTTCTCTGCTGCACAAGCCCTCCCCCAAAGGAAGTCAGGCATAAAGCACGAAGCATTACATATATCTGTGTATAAATATGCATGCATTCCACATCTAACTGGATCTTTTTGCTGCTGCTCGGTTTTACAGTAGCATAACGTGTAGGCTGTGGCAGGCAGGAGAAGTGAGGAGGAAGAAAAGCTCAGTTGGCGAGCTTTGTGGTAGAAGCTGGAGCAGTGATGCAGCAGGATTTCGTGGGCTTTAACGGGGGCAGCAGAGGAGGAAGGGGCCATGAAATTGACATTTAATGGGATATACTTTACCAGGAGTGAGTCACATTTTAATTTGATTAAGGGGAATAAAGAAGAAGAAAAAAAATAAGGCATGTATGGAACTGATCGATGTGGGATGATGAGGTCCTCACAGTTGCCATAGCTCACTTGGCCCAGCTCATTTTGAGCATGCATCTGCACTGTACATGAAAATATTTTTATAGTATACAGTCCAGTGTATTATCAGGATGGCGTTGCACAGGGGTCCCCAAAGTCAGTCCTCGAGGGCCAGCATCCTGAATGTTTTAGTTCTCTCCCTGGTTCAACCCACCTGGATCAAATGATGGCTCATTAGAAGCCTAAGAAGAACACTGACACGCTGACAGAGAACTAAAACATGCATGATGCTGGCCCTCGAGGACCGACTTTGGGGACCGCTGGCAGATCTATGAGCATTAGAACCAATATAGGCTCAGGATTTGGAGAAACAGAAATTTGTGAACTGCTACATATTTTGTGATAATTATCTATTGAAGCAGCAAATATAAGCTTAAAGTTCACTATTTTTAATAGGTGGTTCTTGCGTAAATGAAAGAGCACCTGCTTTCTGCTGCTCCTCACACTAACAGACACACCCACTCACCAACAAAGCTCATACTACAAGGAGTATTTTCATTATATAACCAACAAGAAACCATATTATTTAACTTCTACTGTCGATTGGAAACGAAAATGAGTGGAGAAGAATTTGTCAGTTCAGGTTTAAAGCCAAGATTTTTAACTCAATATGATAAAATGTTGTCCAGATTCCATAACAGAGACACCAAAACAGCACTTTCATTCAGTGCCAATTCATACTTTGCATGGATTCCAACTTTTGTGTGGAGTAGTTTCTTTCTGCTGCCCCCCACAGGCAGCACTGCCTTTGGCAAAAAGCCATATTGCCCACACATTTAACATAACAAATCTATATGGACAAAGTGATTTAGTTTGATAAACCATTACAAACATACAAGGCATTCTAAAGAAAATCTTTTGACCCACAAAATTTTTCTTCATATTTGCCAAGGCAGCAGCACAATGAATAAAAAATTTGTCATCATCGCAGTTCATGCAAAGTAGATATCCAAATGCAGGGACAGACCATGGTATAAGTAAACTTTGTCCCTGCTTGCTGCTTCTGGCAGAAATTTAACTTAGACAGGACATGTGTACTAGTTGCACATTCTAACTAAAAGCCTTTTATTTTAGTTCTTGTGAATGCAACGTTAGAGGTCCTCACAGTTTCTGTTGTTGTGAGAGACAACAATAGAAAAACTAAACCAAAAGAAACAAAAGATTAATGATGGAGAGAAAAAATGAGTGTTAAGGATCCCTGTTACATGTCAAAGGGTTAACGTTTAAACAAATACCTGCTGTGAGGTTTACTGGAGGTATCCCCAAATTAAATATTATTCAGGGCTTTATGTTTTTAAAATATGAACTGGCTGAATCTTAGTTTTGTAAACCAACCCAATGACTCATTTTAAAGAAGTATTATCTCATCAATCCATATCTGATTACATTTTATTTTCTGACAGTTGTAAATGAAATAAATAATACACATAATTTATATATTTAAGTGTTGAGCTGCACAGGGTGTTGCAGATAGCATGTCTTTCAAATATTAATGTGTTAAATTACTTTAATATCTATTTAGTAGGTTGCAACATTAACATTATTATTGCAGTTGATGAGATAGTCAGTGTCATACTGAAGTAAAAATATTATTGAAAAGTGAATTCCTTTCAATATATCCATTCACAAAAACACGTTATATAAATTACATATACAAGGCTAATGTTAATAAGCCTTTATTTTTGTATTTATGATCAATTTACACTTACACCTAATGAAAACATAAGATTACATTTTATCAGTGAAAACATTTCTAATATGTAGGTTTCATGTCTGAGCCTCTAAATGATTAGATATGACTCTATACACTGCAGATGACCACACTGGGGATGTAGAAAATTCAATATATTGTTCAATAAATAAACAATATATGAATTAATTAAGTAATTGATTAAACAGTAAACTGAAATTGTTGCTCATAAACATGAAGTTAGAACAAAACAAATGAAACCAGTGTTTAGTTGTTGTTGTTTTTCTCTCTTTGTCATAATGTTGCTCTTTGACATATGTCTTATTGTAATCTAATAGCACCTTTTTATTTCCTTTTGGTTGAAATAAAAGAGCTAAGTATGCACATTGTTCATCTGAAAAAGATGGGAATATCAAATGGTTTGCTTTGAGCAGAATGTATCAGAGACCAGCTTGTCTCTACAAGCTCTAATCATCTATGCCAATAAACAACACCAAAACAAAGTCAATATTGTTTTTGCATTGACAGAGAGGGCTGGTGAATTTTAACCAACATACTCAACTTAAATGCTAAACCCGAAAATGCTTTTTCATTACTTATGTGGCACAAATTAAAAATGAAATACTGGAAAGGAAATATTGGTGACAACCACCCTCTTGATTCCTCAATGTAACTGATATTACCAAAAATACTAAATTACACAGAATTAGGAGAAAGTGAGCAACATCTAAGGAAATTGGGGATTAATCGCGTCTGATTTCACCGTGGCATGAATTACTAATATTGCGCGTGTTGAAGAGGGCAGCCGCTTGTATATCTAAGGATGACTTGCAAATTTGAACAACAAAAATGACAGTTGACCAAGAGTTGAAAAAAGTGTGAAGCAAACAGAAAGTCCAAATCAGCACAGGCACACAGCCAGCTTCCTGACTAAAACGCTTTACTTTTGTAACATGAACATGTAACACCAAACACTCTGAACATGTTATGCATTTGTTTCAGTTTTATTACTTGTGTATTTTGGATAAACTATTTCAGGATTTAAAATAGGGAAATATTTACTCACATCCAAATTCGAGTCATTTTCTAGAGGCTCTAAAACATGTAATAGGTTTTGTTATTTCTTTCAATCTTAAAGAACTGAATCACAGAGGCATCAGTTGATCAAAGTTTGCAATCATGACAATAGCAAGTTATTATGTTCTGGTGTAATCACTATGTGAGACTGGGATATTTTTATCCTTGTGGGCATAGCTTTAACCTAAACCAAACGAGGTTTATCTTCAGTTGTTCTTTCACATACACGTTTGACATGATAGAACATAAAAAGCTGTGGTTTCTGCTGGCCAGTGCAGTTTGATTTTCTGCTGAACTGTTAACATTGACAGGCAGGAGGCTATATTCCTACCTGTGCACAATTTTTCCTCACTTTTTCACTTGTTTCTTCTTCCTAAACTCTCTTCTAATGACAGTCACAATGATGAAATAGTTTGACTAGATAGAAGTAGACCAGTGTTTGCTAAATGTAATAAATACATTTTGTTTGGAGGTTCAAATAGTGGAATATCTTCCAGAGTAGACCTTCCACATGGAGGTGCAAAGTGAACCTGACACTCTAGTTAGTCCAATCATGTGGGGCTTTACAGTATTTCCTAATAGGGTCCAGGATCCTTTTTTTTGCAATAATATCTATTACATATATGGTTGTTCTTTTTTTATTTTCTATTGTTCAGCATGATAACCTGTTTTAGGAATGTTTGTCAGGCATCAGGAACACAATACAACACAAATTTTATTCAAAGCTGATTGGAAAATTTGTGCTGTCAGCTGACTGACCGTGTCTGATATATCACTGTCTCCATGTGAACCTCCAGTGCAAATTGCAGTTTTCTGGAGCACCACTGGCTGCACTCCAACACTCGACTGCTGCTGCTGCTGCCGCTGCTGCTGCTGCTGCTGCCGCTGCCGCTGCTGCTGCTGCCGCTGCCGCTGCTGCTGCTGCTGCTGCTGCTGCTGCCGCTGCTGCTGCTGCCGCTGCTGCTGCTGCTGCTGCTGCTGCCGCTGCTGCTGCTGCTGCTGCCGCTGCTGCTGCCGCTGCTGCTGCTGCTGCTGCCGCTGCTGCTGCTGCTGCTGCTGCTGCTGCTGCTGCTGCCGCTGCCGCTGCTGCTGCTGTTGCCCAGCAACATACAGTATTTCATAGCTCAGCTGAGCTTGGCGCTGAGCAGAAGTCAGCTTTTCATCTCTGCACCACACATCTATATCAGTGTACTTGTATAATGTGCCTTTGCTCCTGCAGAAGGCGTTATGGAAGAATATTGCATAAGATGCAGGGATATTATATTTAGGATTTTACTGTTATTACCCATATTAAGAAGACTATTATAAAAATATAGGCTAAATGCATTTTGAGTAAATACACAGCGAGTCAATTTTTTTCTCATAGAATTAGGAATTTATTTGATAATTTTATGATAAATTGTTTTAGAAGAATTAAGAGCTACATTTACAAGGTTTTTACAATGTAATAATCAAAAAGCAAAGCATCTTCTAATTTATGAGAGAGAAAAAATAGATATATGAATATGTGAATATTGTTGTTGTTATTTTTTATTTACTTGCATGCTTTTAATTTTTGGTGGTACAATTTGAGTGCAATGAATAAAGCACAATGGAATGGCCATATTTTATTATCAAGTTTCTTTTTATCCAAATTTGTTCCAAATGTGGAATAAATTGTTCCAAATTGCTAAAGCTGTGGTCAATGTATTTCATTTATACTAAGTTTCAATGCCATTCCAGTTTAGTAAAAAGCAAAGAATAAATACAAATCTAAAAATAAACAATATTGAGATTGCATTACTGTTGGAAAAAGAGACATTGTGTTGATCTACAGCTGTGTGAAGTCAGAGGTCCTGCAATGGCACTGAATTAGAAAATCACACTAAATTTGTATTTACTGATTTTTACAAATCCACACTAAAACAATCAGATAAAAAAGTATGCTGTTATTTCAAGAAATATTTGCAAAAGTTAAAGTTCAGACAAATATTATTGTTTTATTCAACATAGTCTTTTTGCTTGTCACTATGTTTGTGCTGGACAGTATCTGTGAATATTTGCTCAAGAAGTAGACGTTGGAGGTGGTGCACCAAAAATAATTTTTCTGTGTGAAACATACTGAGAACAGAGTAACTAACACAAAGTAACCTTTTGATGTGAATGTAAAGTGGTGTAAAAAAAAACTAAACATTGTAGTGGTTTGAATAATACCATATCTATTAAACATGTAGGCTAATAAATTATTTTATATTCCATTTAGCTTCAGAATATGAGCTTTGTCGCTCTGAGACTAGTTGTTTAGCTTCAGAATATTAACTTTGGCCCTTTGGACTATCTTTTAGTTTCGAGTTAGTTTGGAGTATTAGCTTCAGAGCGTTACGTAAGCTCAGGTTAGAGTTATGGTTAGACAAAACCTTCCTTTGAACAAATAACTTACTAAAGAGTAAGTCATTTGTTCCTCACACTGTTTTTTCTGACTTGTATGCTAATTTTGCAGAAATAAGGTGATTTTGCTTCATATATCATAGTTTGTTTCTTCATGTTTTAAACTGATAACTGCTTTTTATACTGCTTACAAAAAATGAACAGATTTTTGAGTGCTGTTATATGTAGTGGGCTCATTCACTTCCTCTGCAGTGCATTCAACGCTGCTTTGTACTTGCTGGTTAAGTGTCAAAGCACACGTCGCCATCACAGATACACACTGCACCCTGTGAAAAATTTTAGGCCCTTTAACTAAACTTGGAGGGGCTTGCCTTATTATCCCAGGAGTCGTGTCTTTGAGATTTAGCTTTCATTATTAAAGACCATCTTCACCACACTGAGTTCAGAGCCTCTTTCTTTGTCTTTTTTTTTCTCTGGTTGTGCTGAGTGGCCTTGTTAGTTGCACACTGCAGAAATCTGGCATACATACAATTGTTCATTCTCTGAGTTTCATATTGTTTTGGACTTTTAGCATATGTGCATGTTTCCAGTAAGAGTATGTTGGTGCCTTCGTTTCTCATTAATGTAAATTAGCAACTGGACTTACATTTTCTTCCCATGTAAATTATTCACTTTTTTCACGCTTTTTCTGTGCATCTAGATTAATGTTTGTATATGTGCCCAGAAACTAGTTGTCACGCAGATCATCAGCAAATTTTAAAATAATGACAATAATCCTTGCCCGCCATCACCCAAGTAATGATCTGTGCTTGGATTTCACAGTTTTACAGGCTGTCTGTAAAGGCAGGTGACTGGTGCAGATTTAATGACCACACGCTTTAGAAAACTGGGAAGAGTGAACCAATTGCTTGAATGTTTTATGCAGGATTCAGAAAACACAAAACTCCACATCTGCACTGGAATACGTTGCATTAAAAAGCAGATGTTCTTGTCAATATCATACATTATAAACACATAATTTAATAATTGGATTGTCAGTAGCTTGTCAGTAGCACTAACAGTTACTGGTGTTTCTGTTGTATGCCAATTATTTGAGTTACAGTTTTTGCCTCTATGCTCTCTCCTTCCTTAGCTGTCCCCTTCCCCTTAAGCCACCGCCTTACAATGAAGGAAGTATTCGACTGTGAAGGCAAACCTCGCGTAGATCTGCTGAAGGCTCACCTGACCAAGGAGGGCCGTGTGGAGGAAGCCGTCGCGCTTCGAATCGTCAATGAGGGAGCAGCCATCCTCCGTCAGGAGAAAACTATTCTCGACATTGAGGCACCAGTCACAGGTATCACATGGATTAGGGATGTTTGCCAGCTTCTCATGGAAAGCTGAATTAGGTTAAACCTGCAACAAATTTTTTATGATCTTTAGTATATGAAAGACTGTAATTCATTACATTTGTTTTGATATGTCATAGTTTTGAAGAGTGAACAGTGATTTAGCATGTTTAGCATCAAAGCCATGAAGTTTACTCACCTAAATTAAAGTTAGCCATTTCATTATGAGGCAGTTTTATTATTAAACAGTTTTGTTTACCTCTTTCAATCCTATTTAAATCATTCCTGGTGTTTATTTTCAAACAGGGGACAATTACCTGAAAAGGTAATGTACAATTGAGGCTGATGACTCCCAGTAAATTTAGCATACATCTTTTCAGCAGTTATCCAAATCACATTGATATGGCCATCCTAGTCGATGTCTATTCTTTGTTCATATGCATCACTGTTGAGGAACATTTAATGAGTTTCCCTTCAATTTATTTGTCTTTGCTTTATAAGTATGAGAACAGTTTTTTACTTAGCTACTCTTTAAAATGGGAAAGACACTAGATCATGCTCAAATGAGGTAGATGTGTGTTCATCATCATTAGTCTGGAAATCACATTAAGAATAAAGTTTCTTTAATAATAATAATAATTCAATAATGATAATTAAAATATTTGAAATAGCAGAACAAAACTGGATGAGGATTTGAGTTATTGTGGGATATAGTGGGCTGCAGTAATTTTATTGAAGAAGGTCTTAAAAATAAAACGCGTACTATTTAGTTATTGATTTTGGCGCTTGGGCAACAGTTTAATAGACAATAGTCGTAGACAGTCTGTTCTTTGGTGTTCCTCAGGATGAGTATTTTTAGTACATCTTCTTTTGATCTTTATTATTGTTTCAGGCCAGATGGAAATTTACCAGGAGAGCTTTACTGGTTTTGCCCGGGTCAGATTTAAATTTAAAGTAGTTTTTCACTGATTGTTTTAATGAAGGAAGTGCTGCCATCCTACAACTTTTAGGTGCATCCCTTCTCCAACATACTTGAATCAAATGAACTTAGCATTACCAGGCCTCTACAAAGCTGAATGACTGATGGTGTAGAAATTCAGGTGTGTTGGAGTTGGGAGAATCTAAAAGTTGTTGGATGGCAGGTCTTGAGGACTGAATGTGACTTAATAAGGGCACGTTTTGTGCAAATCATGGTTTTAAATTCACTCTGATTCCCAAATGTTTAGTTTTTGGACATTTGATTTGAAACCACTTCACGTGGTTCATTGATGCTTTGTTTACTTTCATATGCATGTTTAATGCAACAAGATGCATGATATTAAATGTACATACAAGCATCAGTATCAATTAATTAGCTCAAGTTCAGCTTAACATTTTCAGAAGTGACAAACTGATGAAAATCACATCTTCAGGCCTCAACCTCCTGGTCTTTATAGACGTTAAACGTTTTGAGGTGAAAATCTTTAAAAGTATTGTGTGCGGGCATTTGTATGTTTGTTTCGTATCTTTGTGAGCTCGGCTGCATTTGAATTTCAATGTGGCTTTTGCCTGCATATAATACATGGGTGTCTGTGCATGGGCCTCCACCTATGTGCGCATGTGTGTGTTTGATTGCTTTAGTCACACAAGCAGTCTCCCACACACATTGCTCTGAGCTTTGAGTGGGCGAAGGCCACTGTGGAGCTGATAGGGGAGACGGAAAAGCGAGAGGAGATGGAGGATGAGCAGGAAAGAACGAGACAGAGCGAGTTGATAATGAAAAATTGAAGGCAGCAAGGAAATGAGATGTAGGTTTGCACTCCAGAGCCATAGTGTTCGCTGTGAAAAAGCATACATCTCCCTGGGGGCTTGGGTTTCTTCTACCCCTTTGAGGTTTGTGCTTCTCATTTCTCAGAAGTAGAGAAAGGAGGCCTTAAAGACCACAGAAATATCTCATTACCATCATGTCCTCAACGTAATTGCTCAAAGTGCTTCCATAATTATTTAAAGGTCTCGTCAGTAACACAAATCATCTTCATTATTTCCAAACTATAAATGTATTTTTTTTTTACATTTTATACAAAAACAGACATATTGCATGGACAAAATCTTGCTTTACTCACTGATGATCTCAGCACCAATAATGTGCTCTGCTTTGTTGTTTACAAACATCGTCACCATAATTTTATTGTCATCTGCATAGATATCTTCTGATCTGCATACACACAGATTTAAACGTCTGTTTCAACACAATATTGCCTGTGGTAGACGGATTGGATGGGTCATAAATCGTATTTACACCTCCACTATTGTCATTGTGATTTGTTGTTATCCCATGTCGTTGCGAGACTGACAATAAAAAAGATGACATGATTCTTTGATAGCAGAGCAGATACAGTTTCTGCAGAGGGTCGTTAAAGCCCTTCAAAATAATCTCCTAACTTTCTACACTAAAACTGATATGTTCATTGTAATGTTGGCTAGGTACAGACCTAAAGCAGTGGGCAGACCTGCTCACATGTGAAAATATACCAAATATTATTTATCAATTTTGTCTTCTGTCATTTGTTTATGCTATTTTATCTTTCTTTACCTTTTTTTTATATGGACAAAAGCTTAATGTGAATAGGAAGCTGAATATTAGCAAGTTTGCTATAAATATTAAACACAAGGCATCTGGTTCACACCAATGTGTGTGTATTGTCTATTTTAAATAAATAAAATAATGCAGTGCTTCCAATAGGATGGATTTTTGAAGTTATACTGCTTTCTGTATGCCTGTTTTTGACTTCTTCTCTGAATATCTGTTTTTATTTTCCCTGTGATTAGATGTAAACTATGTAATACATTGTTTTTCTTTTTGATCTTTCAGAGAGGATCTCTTGAAAGTTTGTTGTGGTAAAGACTGATTTTTGGTATCTCTTGAGGACTGATCTGCTGATTTATCTCTAATATACACTTTTTACGTTTGCAAATCTGCATTTCTTTTCTATGACATAGAGGAACGCTCAATTTGATCAAGATAAGTCAGGCTGCCAAAGATTTTGTGAAAATGTCGATAATGAGCTCTCACACACCTTTAATGTTAAAGAATCAACTGAAATATTGCAGCAATGCCTCACTATTAACATTATTTAAAATCACTCGAAGCTGTGGTGTCTGCAATAATGTGGATTCATTTATGCTTGAATCTGATAAATTGACCTACTTTATGGTCTATCCTTGTTCTCTCACCATTAGGGACATCTCATGTGACATTCATCTCCAGTTAGGTCAGTTGCAGTGACATTGCAGTATTAATGTCACTGCAAAAGGACCTGGTTATTCTGCAGTTGAACAATGGAAATGCCACAACCTTAACCCCAGTACTATTCAAGATAAAGCAATTTTATTTATGCAGCTCATTTTTAATAATAAAATTCAAAGTGTTTTATGTAATTAGAAGTGAAAAAAATAAATAAAAACACAAGCAAAAAATATATTTGTGCAACAAATTAAAGAAAAACAATGGCATGCTTAAAAACAGACTACACTTTTTAATATTCCAATTGTCACTTAAAGGACTGCAGAAACGTTATCCAGACAAAAGAATCTTATACTTGATTGATTTATGACAAAGTAATTGATGGATTATTAGACATTTATTCATTACGTTTCGTCTCATTAAATGACACATAAGGATTTTAAATTCGTATCGCCATTCCCAGTGGGAACATTTTGTTACCATGGAGGCGCTTGACTCAGGAGCCGACTGTGGAGTCACACTGATTTCCTTTGCAAGTTTTTCTATTGCTGGGCATCAAGGGATATAAAAGCTTCGTCTCCCTCCTAAGTACTTTTTGATCTCCCAAATAATAAAGTACAACTTCACCAACAGGAAAAATGCCTTTCTGGTTTTCATTATTTTTTACTAATCCAATATCACAAAAAATACTCAAAAAAAAAAACTCTTCATTTGCCAGTTGAAATTAAGCTAATCATTTCAGTTTTTTGATTTGTATCAATTGAAATGATACTAATAACGATGCCTGTGTTTTCCTTAAATAGATTATTAGATTGAACTAACAGTAGACACAATACAAATACAACAAGTACTATTATGTATTAAATGATATGAAAAATGTTTATGTATCTCTAATATAAAGGAATTCTTAATTTTTATATCATTACAATTTTTTGGCAAACTGGACAAAGTTGCTGTGCTCAAAAAAGTAACATTCAGAGGAAAAAATTTAATTCCATACCATACTTTTTCCTTTGCTTGTTTTCTAGTCTGTGGGGACATCCATGGTCAATTCTTTGATCTTATGAAGTTGTTTGAAGTGGGAGGATCACCAGCCACAACACGGTACCTGTTCCTCGGGGACTATGTTGACCGTGGCTACTTCAGTATTGAGGTGAGAATATATTTTTGTTTATGCTAAAAGGAGAAGAAAAAAAACAATGCGTGCGAGCTCTAAAATAACTAAATCTATGCTTGTCTGTTTGCTCTGACAGTGTGTTTTATATCTTTGGTCGCTGAAAATCCTCTATCCAAAGACACTATTTTTACTTCGTGGAAATCATGAATGTAGACATTTGACAGAATATTTCACCTTCAAACAAGAATGTGAGTACCTCGCAAGGTTCAACGCGTTGATTTTGAGGCTTTTCTTCTAGTCTTGGCACGCTCTTGAATAGCCTGCAGCATGTCTGGAGGAGCTAATCCATTACAGTCTAGCACATGTGACAGTATGAAAGGCTGGAGTTTTCTGCCAACAAATGAAAATTTGATGTTGATAGCTAAATGTTTTAGTCAAAAATATGAGTTGAGATTTAGCATAAATTTTCATTCGTGCAGCTGATTCATCGTTTTGTCTATCAGGTAAAATCAAGTACTCGGAGCAGGTGTATGACTCATGTATGGATGCATTTGACTGCCTTCCTTTGGCTGCACTCATGAACCAGCAGTTTTTGTGTGTCCACGGAGGACTCTCACCTGAAATACACACCTTAGATGACATTAAAAAGGTAACAGAGAAACAGTAGAATGGCATCTGCCATGTAATGCTTTGGTATTTTTGTGTTTTTTTTGCTTTAAAACGTTTCTCCTTTTCATGTTAAGTTGGATCGGTTCAAAGAGCCGCCAGCGTTTGGGCCCATGTGTGACCTGCTCTGGTCAGATCCTCTGGAAGACTTTGGAAATGAGAAAACCCAGGAATACTTCAGTCACAACACAGTGCGAGGTTGCTCCTACTTCTACAGGTGAGCAGCACAAGAATAATTTGGGTTTGAGGTTAACCTCCAAAGGAGATTGAAAGTGGTGAACTTTATGTCTGATGTGTAAATTCTTGTTTGGCAGTGAATAGCAAGTTTACAATCTTTGTTATTGTTTAGGTTTTTTGCTTGTTGGTTTTAAAAAAAGCTAGACTACTTTTGTCTCTTGTTAAAAACATGGACAACTCAGATTTAACCTTAATTATTCTGATAAAAGAAAATCACTAATGACGTAATTAGTCCATGCATGGATTATTCATTGATGCACCTCATCTTCAATTGATATCATTACTAACAATTTGCACAGAGAAAATCATCGCTGTCTGTCATAAATTCAAATCACTGGCCTTGAGTATAACTTAAAGGTACTTTTCAATCACTTGACAGAAGGATTTTGTGAGTTGCTTGCGACAGATTGTTTAAAAATTTTTACCTCTGAAACATGAGATTGAGATCATTTTAAGTCCTGGCTTAACCCTCTGATGTGTAAGTGGGTTCTTTTGGACCCAGTAAGGTCATCTGTTTGCAATACCTTTGTAATGAAAAGTTTTCATCACTTCGTATTCCAGGTATTCCTCAACAAACAGCTTATTATATTACATATAATTAATGTCTTTATTTTTACCTCACAAATGTCTGGGTGTGTCGATCATCAGTGATCGACACACCCAGACATTGTTATTGTCACAAATCAACCAATTAGTCTTCTTTGAAGTTAGCTAACACTAGTTATCAAACTCGCTAACATTACTGTCTACACTTTATTGGGCATGTGTATTATTTGTGTGTGTGTGTCTGACAGCCTGGATGAGAAAATATGTTGAATGACATGCAAAACCTGTTGATCAATATATTCAAGGTTCTTTCTTTTATTATCTCAGTAAATAAAATAAAAATTCATAGCTATGTAAATAGATGCATAAATAAATGAGCTGGAGACGAGTAGAGTTCCTTCTCCAGGTTGGGGAGGATGTCCTGCCCCAAGTGGAGCGGGAGATCGACAGAGATTGGTGCAGCATGTCCAGGCCTTTTTCTGGCTTTTTTTCCTGTTACCTTAGTAAACGTTGTGGCAACATGGTACCTGTAGTACAGCACCACCTTACATTTAATAAAAACTAGTAGAAAAAGATTGGCACCACTTAATGTTGAATAACCGAATGAATCAATTACAGTGAAAAAGTTACATGCTGAGGTAACTTAAGTATTTTTTGTTTTGAAATGCTCTGAAGTCCTTTTATACTGAGTTCAGTTTGAGAGACATCTGTGTAGTCATTGTTATGAAACCACAGTAAATATAAACACAATATTAAGAACCGTTAGCCTCTGGTCTATAAAGATTCCTGGATATTAAAAGATTTTGTATTTCAGCCTGCACTGCTTTTGGTCCCTGTCATAAAGTCCAAATACTACAGTGATCACAGTCACTTGACTCGTGTGGCTTTTGTGTCTGCAGCAGCACTTATGAGTTGCAGGTCACACTTCACAATAAATTGAACTGCTTTAAATTATGGTTTCACAGTTTTTCTGGAACGCATTATTTCTACTCTAATTAGATTGAGTAAAACAACAAAAAAATCAAAGAAGAGAACCGTACATAAATAACATCAGAATTTTTACTGATATCTGGTGACTAAATGGTGACTAGAGATTAAAAATAGATATTGAGATTATAATCTATTCATAGACATCAATTGCAAGACAATTTAAAAGAACAAAAAGCTCATAAAGACTCAATATGGAGATGGAATGATTTAATGGATGGGCAGGAAAAAGGAGACTAAAAAGTATTTGTATCGGTCATGTCAGGCCAAAATAATAAGAGGTAAGATCTGACCTGATATTGCTGTGGGATGATAGGGAGCTGGTGGAGGAGAGGGGAAGACGTTAGGTGGCAATTACAGTGAAAATATTCTTAATGAAAGCTCAGATCCTGAACTACATGGGCTCCGAAAAATCTGAAAGACTTCCTGGGTTCTTTCAGAGGGGAAATTACAGGCCAGACAGCAGGTACTGCTAAAAATCATGTTGCAGCTAAAATTTAATTTTCTCTGATTTTTGCTAATACCTCCAGCAGTTTCACAAGAGACACAATAATGAGGACAGCCATGAATATTTTTATCCATTATTGCGCTGTGTACTCTTCTCAGGGTTTTTCTCATTTTCATATGGTTTCAGAAAATGTGCGACTACTTCAAGGAAACAGGTTTTATTCTCTGAAATTAGCTTATATAGACACAGAACATCATTTTGTGGTTGGCTGAATAATGTAGCAACTTAGTTCAACACAAAATGCGTCGATTTGATTTATTTATTTTTTTTATAGAAGACTGAAATGCTACCATTAGCACTGTTATGTGGAAAAATAAAATTTATATTTCTTATTCTACCATCTTCAACTTACTATTTATGTTAGCACAGCAGCAAAGTAGGCTTGCAAAAGAATCACTTTAAAACTCCTCAGTTTAAAGAGTAAGGTTTTTTTTGTGATTCATGTTTAGATTTTTTTCATATGGAAAGGATAATAATGATAATAGTTGTCTATTCCAGCTCATGGCAACAGATAATACAATGATCATTTTAAAAGGTTAAGTTTAATAAAACATGACATTGTGACCAGCACAAACAAAAATGACACCGTTATGAGTAAAATGGTAACCTAAAAGTCAAAGTACTCAGCTAATTGCAATCAAAATAATCCAGATGCCTTAGATGAATAGAACAAAATGCTCTCTCTTCCACCAGAGTGAAATGGTCGCCAACTGGTATTCAGTGAGATGGGAACTCAGTGAGGATTGCTCTCTACATTTGTGGAGGATGCTGCTATTGTAGTCATCTATTTCCCCCTGGCTTTGTTCTGCCTTCACTCGCAAACACACCTCTCCGTCATTATGACTCTCAACATCTGTACAGTGTGGATGCAGCACAAAGTACCAAATTCTAGTAGGGAACTATAAGAGAAATGCAAAAACAAAAACAAAAAAAGCATTTGTTTCAAACACAGTGTATACAAAGGCAGGGTGAGATATGATACTTATCATATCATAAAAGCAGTTTTTTGGGTTGGAAATCAATTGAAAACATGTAAAGAGCTCTCTATAAAACTGAATATCTCTGATAATCTGAATTTACTGAATTAGAGCTAATTCAGCAGCATCTGGAAAGCAAGTCAGAGTAGCTAGAAAGATGGAGAGAGCAGCACACTGGCGGAGCCGGAAGAAAACTTGTTAGAGGTTGCAAAAGACCTGGTTGTAGAGGTAAGACTAAAGTATAGCCTATGCTACAATGGAATAGTTTAGATCAAACCATATTCATGTGTTAAGATGTCCCAGTTAAGCTACATAAGATTGCTGTTCACTAACATTCTGCAGATGTTATTAACAAAAACTAGAAAACCAAATAAGATTTTTCTTCCACCTCACAACCGTGTCCTACATTGAGTTGTTCTAAAGTTACAATGAAATAACATTTATACTTGTTATTGCAACCTAAAAACAAATGTGACCAAGTCAAAATTAGCCATTTTTGATATGATACCACTGCGGTTAAACCTAACATTATCTGACTTTAAGTCAGATTCTTAAAGTCGTAAGTTAGGCTTTAAGAATATGACTCCACCACATTTCATCTTGGCTTTCTATCTTTGCTCACATGTAATTTTTTGTGTAATGGCTACAAGATGAACTATAGGGAATATTTTTTTTTAATATTGGGGAAGAATGAGTCCGATGACCAGCAGCCTCACAGATGGATTATCTTAGGTGAAAGAAAAGGAAAAAAAAACCTCTCAGTTTCACACTCACGACGCAGCACTTCCATCCCTCTCTGTCTCTTTCGCTCATACTCACTTGTCAGATTCCTCACTCGTTCTCAGTCACAGGCTCACCAACACATATCATTGTGCGTTTTCACAAAGGAGAGAAAAGGAATGATCAGAATCCATACTGTGTTTCCTTGCATCAATCGATAAATGTAGTTTGACCAAATAAAATGTGACTAAAATAGTAATATATATTTGATTACGCTTGAATGTGATTATAGATTTTGAAACAAGGCAACTTTCAGCCTTATGTCTGATCTTAAAATGTGCTGTAGATGTTTTTTAATAGAAACGGTTATATAACGTTCTTTTGAGTGCAGTATCTTGCTGTGTTGTTAAACTCAAATGTCAGCCACAGAGGAAACCTTAGAACATGTTTCTGTAGCTACGCACATAATTTAAAGCATATTTTTCTCCTCAAGGGAGAGCTACCTATGTGACCTAATTAAAATGGGAGGATGGCACAGTTTTGCTAGGTGCTTAGGGCACAGCAGTCCCCTTGTTTTTCTCCCGGCATAAACCTTGGAGCACTTTAATATTTTAAATACCGCTGAAAGTTTGATGGGTCCGTGGATGGCAGTGACTGCACGGAAGAGCAAAAGAAGACGATTATTACTGAGAAGGCTTAACTTGATGGTATTAGGAGTTTTATGTTTGAGTCAATTTGGATATGTAATTTAAATTTCATGAGTCAAAATGCAATAATTGTATGGTTTATTCTGCTGGGAAAAAATGAGAAATTTAGAGACACTCTTAAATAACTGTCAGTAAAGTCTATGCATTTCTTTAATGAACATGATGACTGAGTAAAACAAAAGAACTGAAGAAATAATTATTAGTGTCAAACAGAAACAAAGATTGATTATAGCTTTAACATCTAGTGATTCTGTTTTCCATTGAAGATTCCAATATGACTACTCAGTGTATAGATAATGTATTTCCACTCCTCTTTGTGTTCTTATGCTTTGCCTTCATAGTAGGGCACATTAATCTAGAAACACTGAATTATGATCAGTGCAAACAGCAATTAAATGACTGTAAATTTAAACTAGTATTTCAATATACCCTAGAGATGGTGGAAAAGCCTTTTTACAAAAAGTATCTGTTTATTAAAGTAGCAAAATCTCCTGCTGAAAACCAATCTAACTGTTAAAAGTTATCATAATGAAGATAAGTCTTTGGCTACTTGTTTGTGACTCCATTCGAGCTCTTTATGTTTTAGGTGTCCTGGTGTCTCTCTGTCTGCGTGAAGCTTGATACTTTCAGCAAAAAGGAAAAAAAAGGACCCAGTGTGAAAAGCAAATAACAATAAAAATGATCAAGTACACACAAAAAAATGTGAAGAAGATTAAAATATTTTTGATTATTTAAAGCTTAAGAGAAATCACAATGATAAACCATTTTTAAAATAAAAAATTTGCAATTAAAATGGATAGGAAAAAAAATCAATGAATAATAATAATAAATAAATAAGAGGCAGCCTAAAGCAAAAAGCCAGTTAGAAGTGAGCAGCGTCACAGATAGATTTTAGCATTAAGTAACATACCGTAATAATATGCTTTTGATTCTTTACAATGAGCTTTAAAAGCACTATCATGCAGATGCATACACTTCTGAAGGTGCCCTGTAGTGTATCAGGTAGCATGATGTCTCAGAAAGCTTCTTTAAGTCTAGTTCATTTTGAATTAAAGCCAATAAACTAATTAATACTCTACACCACTGCTTTATGTCAGCTGCATCTTGTTCTTCACCACTGAACATGAATAACCTAATAGTGATGGCTTCATAGGATATATTAAGCCACTCTTAAATGTGACTCTGTGACTCTCCTAATGCACATTTTTCAAATGTGCATTAGGAGAAAAATAATGCAAAAAATAAAATGGATCCAAATGTGGGAAACTGTAAAAATAAACAATTTTCAATTGTTTCTTGCACATATTTATTCCATGTATTTTACTCTGTAATGTTTAGCTGCACAACAGTAATGGGGAATGTAGAGATGCTCACTCCCAACTTTTTCCATTTTTTCAATAACCAGCCACATATTTGACAGTTTTAATTAAAGTGCTAAATCCATCTTTCACATGTTCCATAGAGATACTTTGGACTTTTGTCATAGTTGCTGTAACCTTCACTCATGTCAATCTGCTGATCAGTTGAAATATCACAGATTTAGTTGAAAGTTGGAACATTTAAATTATAATTTTTTCCTCACCCCCTGCAAGGTGAGGGTTTGTGCATTTAGGAAGTAATGGATGCTATGAAAAAAGCACTACTACTCTCTTCCCCTCCAGTAAATTCTTTAATGAAAGAGTGTAACGTTTTGTTAGAATATATTTGAATGTATTTTATGCCAATTTTATAAATATCTGCCGGTTAAATATCTGTCTTAACTTTATACTATTTTCTTTTTTTAATTATTTTTTCTGTGACATCCCTAATCACTGTCGTTTTCTTCTATTTTCCAGTTATCCAGCTGTGTGTGAGTTCCTACAGAGCAATAACCTATTATCAATTATTCGAGCACATGAAGCACAAGATGCTGGGTACGTTGAAACAAAAGGCATGTCTGTGAAAATAATAAAACAATTCTTGACTGAAGACAAATCCAACTTAATTTTTAATTTCTGAATTAACTTCTTTCTGTTTTGTCTTCACGTGTTCCTTTCTATGCTGAAGTTACCGGATGTACCGTAAAAGTCAGACAACTGGATTCCCATCCCTTATAACCATCTTCTCTGCACCAAATTACCTGGATGTTTACAACAATAAAGGTCAGAATGTTTTTCTAATGTTCAGTTTTTTCTTTTTATTGCTTCTTTGTACCTTTTATTACATTAATCTTTGTCTTATTTCTGCACATTAAAGAGTTGCTTTTTGGTGATTTTTGAGTCACAAAAATTGGCCCACTATCACAATCAATCAATCAATCAATCAATCAAATTTTATTTGTATAGCACATTTCAGCAAGGCATTTCAAAGTGCTTTACATCATAAACACAAGAAAACAAAGCCATGCAACATATAATAGACAATACATTGTTATATATTACATTTCAAAAGCAATTCTAAACAGGTGTGTTTTTAATTGCGATTTAAAAGAAGTCAGGGTTTCTGCTGTTTTACAGTTTTCTGGAAGTTTGTTCCAGATTTTTGGTGCATAGATGCTGAAAGCTGCTTCTCCTCTCTTGGTTCTGGTTCTGGGGATGCAGAGCAGACCAGAACCAGAAGACCTGAGAGGTCTGGAAGGTTGATACAACAACAGCAGATCTTTATGTATTGTGGTGCTAAACCATTCAGTGATTTATAAACTAACAACAGTATTTTAAAGTCTATTCTTTGAGCTACAGGGAGCCAATGGAGGGACTTTAAAACTGGTGTTATGTGCTCTATCTTCCTGGTTTTAGTGAGAACGCGAGCAGCAGCATTCTGGATCAGCTGCAGCTGTTTGATTGATTTATTGGACAGACCTGTGAAGACGCTGTTACAATAAACAATGCGACTAAAGATAAACGCATGGATGAGTTTCTATAGATCTGGCTGAGACACTAGTCCTTTAATCCTGGAGATGTTCTTCAGGTGATAGAAGGCTGACTTTGTAATTATCTTTATGTGGCTCTGAAAGTTCTGGTCAGAGTCCATCACTACTCCCAGGTTTCGGGCCTTATCGCTAGTTTTTAGTTGTAATAACTGAAGCTGTGCATTCCCACCTCGTTCCTCTTTAGTCCAAAAATAATGACTTCAGTTTGTTTTTGTTATATATATATATATATATATATATATATATATATATATATATATATATAGATAGATAGATAGATAGATAGATAGATAGATAGATAGATAGATAGATAGATAGATAGATAGATAGATAGATAGATAGATAGATAGATAGATAGATAGATAGATAGATAGATAGATAGATAGATAGATAGATATATATATATATATATATAGATAGATATAGATATATATAATTATTATATATAATTATATAAAAAAATTGTGAAATAGAAGTCTAGTGGTGTAAAAGAAAAGTGTCTTAATTAATTGTCTCTTACAGTTGAAGTACCCCTGCTTTTTTAAATGCATTTCAGTTCAGATTTTATTTTTTGCACAATTTCACGGATGCTTGCTAAATTTTCCAGGACTGTGTCACTAAAGTGAAATCTGACATTTGGGAATCCTCTAAAAGCGGCCCTGTCAGTTGTAAATAATTACAACTGACTTCCTGTGATTTTCTGTGAAAATGATTTTAACTAACAAATTGAAGTGTGTGAGTTAATATAAATGCATTTAGCTGTGAACAGGCACAATAAAGCATCAGGGAGGCCCGTTTGTTTGTGTTCTCAGATCTGTGTCTTGGTTGCCATGGGCTATGGGAGATGGGGAGCGTGGGAGGGACTGTCAGCATTGCTGACTATCTCCATGTGGCTTTATGCCTCTTGATGTAACAATGTCACCAATCCCTGGCCTCAGCAAGGCCACCTAGTGGATGAATATTACATTTTATTTTCTCTTTCTGTTTCTTCCAATACATAATGTTAAATGGAAACAGAGCCTTGTATTTATAAGAAGCTATAAGAGTATTAAATGCGTTCATTTAAAAAGTTGTGATTTTGTGGTAGATTTTAGAGCAACAATGGCAGAAAAGTTATGTTATTTTTACTGCATTTTTAACTAACTGCTTACAAACAGCTCAAGCCTGGGCTAGTTCGAGTCGGATATATTCATTTAATTGTTTTGTTGTCGTCACAGTGTCATTTGCCAATATATTTCTTGCATGCAAACTCACGTTTACTTTCACTTCAAAGGGAATGCTTTATTAATCTTGTCATCACCTTATCATGCAGCTGTGAATTCATAATTAAAAAGATAGACTTCTTATGCCTCAACAGACCTCATATAATCGTGTTAATCAGGCATAGGATTAATTCTTTGGACCTGAAATCTAAATATATAACACCTGTGCCTTTAAAAAAAATCCTTGATAAAATTTAAGCTTTTATTGCAGGAGCAGAATATTTCTCTGATATCTTGTGTCTTTATCCGGTCTAATTGTCCCACCTTCTGTTGTTTTTTGCAGCACTGACTGTAAACATAATATTTTAATATTAACATAATATTTTAGTCTTTACACAAACTCTACACTATTTTTATCAGCAATGACAGTAAATGTTGAAGTCATTAAACTATGATGTAGTTCGATTGTGATTGTAATGAGCTGGATGTCATACAGCATCATTTAGGTGTGTTGGTTCTAAGGAGGATCCGGGTTTAAGTGGAACATTTTACTCCCCTGTTCTCACTGCTTCCCTTACAGCTGCTGTACTGAAATATGAAAATAACGTCATGAACATTCGACAGTTCAATTGCTCGCCACACCCCTACTGGCTGCCCAACTTCATGGATGTCTTTACTTGGTCCCTGCCGTTTGTTGGAGAAAAAGGTAGAAACCTTCCTCGCTTCTTTTACATTGCCCTATAAAATGTATCTGCCCCATTGGATGTTTTACCCATTTTATTGCTTGTACAAATCACTTGTGACCAACAAAGTCATGCTTTACACAGTAAGGATGTTAGTGGTGATGTACGTAGCATCTTCTCTGATGGCCCAAAAGCTCCATTATGAGTTTCTCTTCATAGTGGGTTGTCCCAGAAAGCTTGGACTGGCAACAACTGTTGGACTCAGAGTCGGAGGTCACCTGATGACCTCTTTCTAGTCTTTTTTTTTTACATGGTTGACTCAGTTTGTGAGGACAGACTGATCTAGGCAGATTTACATATGGACCATTTCTTGCTGATGGATTGAGCTGAACTCCAGAGGATGTTAAGTGGCTTAGAGATTTATGTTTGTATCCCTCCCTTAACATATACTTTTCAGTAACCCTTTTCTCTGACTTGACCATTTCTTTTGTCTTCATGCTGTAATGCTACCCAAGAATACTAATTAACCAGTGAGAGGCTTCCAGAGCCAGGTGTTTTTATACTGAGGTAATCTCCATTCAACTTCTTGAGAGTTGAATGGAGACCAATTGACTAGACTAATAGGACCAATTGACTAGACCACTGTCGAATGAAGTCAGACACTTTGAAGGGGTTGAGTATTTATACAATCACTTATTTTGTCAAAGCAATAAAAATGGCAAAACATCCAAGAAGGTGACTAATTCTTATAGACAGTGTAAGGCAGTTTATCTTTACACCCTGGTTTGTTTTCTGCACCACCCGGTGACTACCTGTTTCCTGTCCACTTTTTCCTCCACAGTCACTGAAATGTTGGTGAATGTGTTAAGCATCTGCTCTGATGATGAACTCATGAATGATGAAGATGAGATATTTGATGGTGAGAAGTCTAAAGAAGAACGTTTCATAATTCATCTTTTATATTTCTCACGGGTACATTGTGGGTTCAGGGTTGACCTAGATCTGTGCACATTGCTGTTCAGAAAGGGAAACAGCTCAGCAGTTGTTACTTAGGATAGTGTGTTTTAAAGCTGCACTTTAGAAAGAAGGCATGAAATCTTTTTTTATTACTGATGTACTGTTATTAAGGGCCATACTTACCTGTTTTTTGTTGCACACAAAAAATGCTTGTTTATTTTTTAATGTATTTAATGACTAAAAAGCTTCCAGTGTTTGATCTGTCAGAGTCAACCAAGTGGCAAATTCTGATTTCTATCTTACTGATTGATGCATCTCTAGACATTTCACAAGAACATATAATTTCATCTTGACTTGAAAAAAAAATACATTTCTCAAAACCGACATAATAAGAAAATAATAGAGCATTGTTATGTGTCTATAATCGCTGTGGATGGGTTACCTGTGTTTGTTTGCAGCCAATGCAGCCGCGGCTCGCAAAGAGGTGATCAGAAACAAGATCCGTGCTATTGGGAAAATGGCCAAAATGTTCTCGGTTCTCAGGTAGACGTTTTGTTGAAGAGTATGTTAGTAAATGGAGATATGATTGTAGTGTATATCTTGAAACATGGACATTATGTAAGGTCTGTTCTGTATGTGTGTGTGTGTGTGTGTGTGTGTGTGTGTGTGTGTGTGTGTGGGGGTGTGTGTGGTGTGTGTGTGTGTGTGTGTGTGTGTGTGTGTGTGTGTGTGCGTGCGTGTGTGTGTGTGTGTGGGGAAAGTGAGGGCAAAGTGTTTTTTCTCCAGTTTGATCTGGGTTCAGCATAGCTTTCTGACCTGCTTGCTTGTTTCTGTTCTTCCTGCAGAGAGGAGAGTGAAAATGTGTTGACGCTTAAGGGCCTGACGCCCACTGGCATGTTGCCAAGTGGGGTTCTCTCTGGAGGCAGACAGACACTGCAGAGTGGTGAGCAGAAGGCTCGGCCTAACTCTTTTTTTCCAGCACTGGTTCTCTCTCTTTGTTTTCGGTTCGTTCTTGTGCTCATCAGCATTCTCATCTCTTCCATTGCCTTTGTCTGTTTTTCTATCTGTCTCTTTCTCCAAACTCCCTTAAATAAAGTGCAGCCAATAAATGCTGTTTTAGTCTCTTGTTGGATCTTCCAATCATATATTAATCCAAACCTTATGGGTATAATTAAGAGTTTTCTGCTGCCTATTTTCAGAAGCTAATGTGTAGTATGGATTTTTGTATATAGGGTTCAGTGATAAAGCTAAGGAACCAGGAGTGAAGTGATGTGATGGAGACGATGTTGGGAGCTTTATTACGATTATTGTTATTATTTTTTACTTTAGACTTGTTTTGAAGGTGGTCGAAATATGCATATTCTTGTGTGGATTTAATACCATTTCTACTGAAAAAATAACACTTTAACATCTTCATCAGATCTAAAAATTTTGAAAATAAAAGTTTTGAATTAGGACGTTGTAGTATTACTTTTAACAAGCCCTTTCACTCCCTTCAGTGTGGCTGAACAAGCATAGTTCTGCAAAGAAGCGCTAAACAAATTTCCTCCTGAGAGATGCAAAGACACTTTGCCAATGAACACATCATGCTTAATAGCAGTTGTCACCAAGGGTGGCACAGCTAGATAATAGGTTTAGGGGGTAATTACTTTCTTACATCGGGCCAGGTACATTTGAGCAGTTACTCTCCACTATCAAATGAAGTAATCATCATCATCAGTTTTTCAAATTACTTGGGTTATCTTTGACTGATTTAATTGTTTTGATGATCTAAAACATTTCAGTGTGACAAATGATAGATATTTAAGAGCGCTTATACTGAAAGAGTACGACTGGTCAACCATAAACAGCTCTCAGAAATGATTTCCAACAGAAAATTAGGAATGCAGAATGATTGGTCCACAATTATTGTTTTGAATACATTTAAGAGATATCATATATGTGACAACACCTTCTTTATGCTGTCATCTTGCTCTGTACTTTTAAAAAGTGAATGTGAAAAAGTATTTTCTGTAAAACATGGTGTCACTAATTCAGCACAAGTAGAAAATAGTAATGGAGCTGACGTTTCCAATCTTTGACATCTGATCTTATATTAACCTCGTAGTCACGTGGACACTTTTATTCACAAAAGCTGGGGAACACCCCTCCCACTTCAGTATGCGTCACCCCTCTTCCCTCTCGGGTGTCCACTCCCCCCATGCATCCTTCATTTTGCCTTTACAAGTCACTCACAGAGAGAACATACAGCCTCCTCCATGGACAACAATGTTTGACTGTCTTTGTAGTCATTTAGTGCAGAATCATACAAATGAACATAATTCCCCACCACATTTGATAAACATTCCTCAAAAGTACACATGCGTCTTGCGGATGCAAAAACAGGAGAGTGGAAGTTGACGAGTTGAAGTGAAATATCAGCACTGATGTCGAAGTGCATTTCGGCATAAAATACGGCAACAAACTTCAGGCCAATCGCACAGAACCATGTGCAAAATAGAAGAAGACGCAGATGCAACTTTCATCACACGACTGAGTTAATGAGAGCCAATTTCAAAACTTTAGATGAAATGTAACTAGGATAAATGGGTTCTCTTAACATTGTAGCAACTGCCACACTGGGAATGTAGAATAAAGTTCTTATGTTTTGTGTTTTCAATGATTAGAAAAGTGGTAAATGGTAAAATGCTTTGAGAATTGAAACAGCTTTCATCAGGAGGACCAGGTGAGTTTACTCAGATAAGGACCTTCCTAAACAATGATATAAATTGTTTCATCAAACATGCAGAAACAATTACTACCTCAGTACAAAACATTAAAGTAATTCAGATGCTCTCACATCTTTGTTTGTCATCTCAGGCCCCGCACTTCCCATCATCTCATGTCTGTGTCTCTCTTCATGAATCTATTTGTGTGACTTTTCATGAAACTTTCTAACCCAAGACTGACACTAACTCAGTTTTAATGCATGGCGCTCCTCTGAGTTTGGCTTCAATAACAGTGAACATGAACAGCTCATCTGGCCAAATAACATGAGTCGCCTTCTCCCTGGGGCTGCATTGTACATTTGCATGGCTTTATCAGGAGTAACTTGCTCCCCTCCTCCCCCCTTCAGCCACCATTGAAGCCATTGAAGCCATCGAGACGCATGATGAGGACAGAGAAGGTAAAGCTGGTGCTCCTTGTCCCACTGATTTAATGTTATCAGGGTATCCTGGTATATAATATTTCTAAACAATAGTTGAAACAATATAGAGTCCACACTTAGCTTTTCTATGTTCATAGAGCTCCAACTTACAGTGAAGTTCATCCAAATAGAGTTCAAGCATAAGAACTTTTTTTGGAGTAATACTTGTTGATTTTATATAAACAAAGCAAATATCGTCATAGAGTAGATTTTAACTACTTTCATGTGGGAAGAAGTTACATTAGAAACTGTTCTCATGCTAAATAATATCTGTCAAATAACTTGGTTTCCAAAAGTATTCTACACTCAAATGTGAGTGTATTTATTATAATTTTATTTTTAAAATATTATACAATTTTAAAACTTTCAAATCACTAAACAAAACCCACTTGCATTCAGAAATCCTCTTTTTGGTAGCATAATTTCATAAGTTATGTGAAAGCCTCTAAAATATTAAATGTTGATGAACAGTAGGACAGAAAGAGCATCACAAAGACCAAGCACCAAATGAAAACCAGGTATCATCTTCATGTCACTTCTCAATTATGGCAGACTTTTGTTCTATCACACAAAATTTAAATTAAATCCATTTGTGGTCATAATGAACAGAACAGAAACTGTTAGGTCTGTTTGCTTGAGGGTGGATGGAACATTATGTGTGCTAAATAAAGTTCCAGTCATCATAAAATGTTTATTATTATTATTATTATTATTATTATTATTATTATTATTATTATTATTATTATTATTATTATTATTATTATTATTATTATTATTATATGTTTATAGAAATATGTGAATTAGTTTTTTTTTCTGCCAAATTGAATTCTGAGATCACCTGTTCATTTTTATGATTTGTGTGTAAGGTGTGCTAGCAGTATTTACGCATTCCTGTTCAAGATATTTATAAGATGAAGTCTCCTCTTCATCCTATAAATACATCCTTTTTGCCTCTCTTTACAAGAAGGACATAGAATATCTCGTTCACTATAATTTGCAGTCAGTTTATAGTAAATTTGGGTTTTTATATTGTCACTTTATTTATTGACTACTGATTCATATTCGGATTGTAAAAGCTGTGTTATTTATTGGAAAAAAGAACTTTGATCATAGTTTCATTTTGTAATGTAAACATTGCTTATGAGGCAGTGACTCACGATTGGTATTGATGAACATGTAACGTAAAGAAAATTAGGAAAGGGAAGTGTAATTATTATACTTGATTGTCACTCCTAGATGTGAAAACACTTTTGATGCAGCTAACACTATTAAATCATGACATGTTTGGGCACATGAGGAGATATATCATATATCATATCATAGATTTTTATAACTTGCAATTATAATGGCTACCAGATGTCTGCATTCACTCATCATGGACATGATTGCCATAACAATCAATTAATATTAAAACATTTAGCAGCATAAAAACATTTAGCAGCATAAAAAGGAGAATGAAGTCCATAAGTTTGAATTCATGTTGGATTTTCTGTTAAAATTATACATATTACCTCAAATATTTGCATGTTCATCTTGACAAATATTTAGAAACTCCTCTTATTAAAAACAGTTGACCAACTTTTTCTATTAATTGACTTTAAACATATTCCACACAATAACCTGTGAGCTTTCTGCTTCACTTGCAAAAGGTTCTGGTAAATTGGACAAAGTATGTGGAATAAATAAGACAGAGGAATACATCCAAACTCTTCAGCTTCCTCTTGCTAGTTCTTGTTTGTAAAAGTAAATCAAAATTATATGATCAAGAAACCAGGAAAAACTAATTGTCCAAAATGAACTATGAGAAGCACAAAACTAATGCACTCCATGATGGATGCATGTAAACAGCACATGACTTGCGGAATATTCTTAGATTGCTGAGTAACATAACCCTGACCCTGCGTTTTTCCTCTTCTTCAGCTATTCGTGGGTTCTCCCCCCAACACAAGATCACCAGCTTCGAGGAGGCTAAGGGCTTAGACCGCATCAATGAGCGCATGCCACCTCGCAAGGATGGGGTGAACCACGTGGGCCACTCCATGGGCAAGATGAATATGTCAGAGGCAAACGGCACAGAAGACAACAGCAACATCCAGTAATGTGTTGTCTGAGCCACGGAAACTGTGCCGCTGTTACAGTCATGCAGGAAGACTTTACTTAATGGGAAATTCAGGCCTCAGAACACAGAAATCAAACAGGCCTATCGCTAGAACATGAAACCTGCAGCAAATCTAAACACTGGGCGAAAACGTCATTTATTTCATGACGGCATGTCATTGCACTGTTAGGGGGAGGGAGGAGCTAGGGTTCACAGCAAAGGGGCAGGGATACAGAGAGACCCACAAGCTGCAGCAAAGAAGTGCTTTTGGAAGTTGTGTCTGACTGTAGTTCCCTTTCTCAATTCGATTACAGACTGAATTGTTGGGAGTTATTTTGCTGCAAGTGCTGACACACGTGTGCTCCTTCATTGCAGGGCCTGACAGAAGACATGAGTGCAGTATCCATATCACATAATGTTTTACAAAGTATTTATTATGAATCACTCACAAATGCACATCAAAAGGAGAATTATCTACTTTATCTTATTGTTTTTGCTAGTATTAGGTCATGTCACTTTGGGAAAGACAACACCGAAAGGAAAAAGAGATGCAAATATGTAAATGTATGTACCTCTTCAAACTCTGCAGCCCACCATCTTATCGGTGAACTTAAATTTATTGATTTACCTTGTTGTAAGATGCTGCCAACCTGCAGGGAAAAAAAGAAGACGGGGTTCTCATGTCACGAACAACTCCACTGCAGACCCAGATCCACCTTGGATATGTCTTAGTAACCTCCGGCATTGCCTCGTTCCTTCTCTCCTCAAAATCTGCCATCCACAGAACCTGGAGGAAAAGAACAGATGATTTAGAAGACGCAGTCCCGCTGTTTGCTGCACCCCAGATTAAACAAAGCGATTTGACTTCAAAATATATCATTTACTCCTTTTTAATCTCAGTCTGGTTATTCACGTCTCTTCCAAAAGAGCGTTTTACATAGGCATGAGCTGGTTTGAGCTTCTAATAATACTAACACAAAGATTTTAAGCAATATTGTGTAATTTAATCTAACTACCCTAACTTAAAAACAGAAAAAAATTCAAACAGAATTTAATTGGCATCAGAGTTATCTGAAAGGTCATTTTAATCTGTAGTCCTGGTAAGTCAGCAAATGCAACAATATCCCTACTGCTGCTGAATTAATAAATTGTTTAATATTTTTTAGCACCTTTTTGATATATTTACTTTGATTCTTAGATGTAAGGAAAACTATAGACTAAAAAAATTTAATTTAGTGACAATCTACTTTGTAAGTGCTTATTGCTCAGAATTGTTTATGAGTAACAGAAGTTTAAAAAGTAGATATATGCTGATTAGTTAATAATGCTGTGGCCTCCTGCTTTACAGTATGTTGTTAGCAGTGAGAAAACCATGGTTTTCTCAACCAAATTGCCCAACTTGATATCTTGTATACAAAATATTGTACCTCCTTCAACCATGAATGCAGCAGATGGGGATGAGCAGTTTTGATTATTCTATTCCCTGAACAGCCAGAGAAAACTCTTGCCACTATGGCACTTTCCCTTCTATTAATATCACTTCAAACTATCCCACCAGTGTGATGGAAAATTTAATCACTTAAAGTCATCATTTTTTGGATGCATGACATAACTAAATAGACATAACCAGCCCATGCCTAGTTCCACATCAGAACAGCTCATGTTAAAAACATCTTCACCTTACAAATTCATTAAAAAAATTATAGTTTTTTCAGGATATTTAAGCTTCATTTCTGTATAACAATAGCCTTTCTTCCCTTCGGCATTAACACAGCTTTCAGAGGAAAACAAAAGTCACTTTGAATGTTGATACATACCTGGGTTTCAAGATATTAATGAACTGTTATTTCTTTTCTGCTTCTTGCTAAAGAAATAGCAAGAATGCAAACAGTGACTTCAGCATACATCACTATCCTGTGAATTTTTGCATCTTTTTCTTTTCCAAAACATTCTTGGATTTTATGCTTGCAAAATGTGACAAGGAAGTTCTGGACGTTCACCAGGTATTGAAATGTTCCAGTTAATCAAAACAGCATCTGTACTGGTGTTTTTGATTCATCAAAATGGGATGAGGGCAAACTACAGTTGCTTTGGAAAATCTTTAACCCAGCACTGATTTATTCATGCTCACTCCCTTCTTTGAAATTTAGATTCTGTGGTTGCCAACATTTTCGCCACTTCCTGACCTGGTGTAGATATTACAGCAGTTTTTTTGGAATCCCATGTTTTTTTGTTTTTGTTTTGTTTTGTTTTTTCAAAAATAGAGAAAATATGAGAAAAGATCATTTTCAAACTATATATCTGAAGTAGTCTAGCAGGACTTTAAAGAATAGGTCTATGGCAGAATGCCTTTTCATTTTGCAAAGATGTATTATTGAATGAGTATACCTAATCTGTAATACTTTTTTTATAAAAAAAAGTGTACAACAGGCCAACATTGGAAATTGAATCTTGTATTCAACTATTTAATCAAACTTTTGTTTTTTTTCTGAATATTTTTTTTCATTTGTTTTTGCTCTAGAACATGATCAAAACTGGATGATTTGATATTAATTAAAAGCTAAAGCCTCACTGTGAGCTAAATGCAATTAATCAATATCTCCAAACAGTGTGTGAGTCTTTCAGAGTCTGGAGTACCTCAAGAGTCGGAAACATCCTGAGTAAAATTTATAAGTTGGAATGACAAGCATCTATGATGGCCACCTCGCAACAAATTTCTTGAATTTTTTGTCATTTTCCTGGTTTGGATGCCATTTTTCTTTTCAGTGATAAAGGTATGTGAAGTAAAGATGGGCAAAAAGTGACTTAACACAGCATCTATGGTATGGAACGCATCAATGCATGCAATTAAGTTCCTAGTTGTTATGTGAGATTATAATTGTGATAGATAGTTGTGTTTCAAATAGTAAACTTGAATTCATTTATTTTTGGATTATATTTGTAGTTTTGTCTTGTTTTATAAATTTTATAAATAGGCTTCCTTTGATTGTTTTTGGTAATTTTTTTGTTTCATTTTGTTATTTACTACCACTGCTTTTAATTTTATATTGATTTCATGTATGCAGAGATGCCCTTCTAAGGTTTAAAGCCTTGTGCTATATATACATTTTTTTTGTTGTACTAATGTACAGAAAATGTTCAATAGTGTGAATGAATATAATCTCAGTGAAAAGCTACTCTTTCAGGCTGCCAAAGCATGATAGCATGGTTTTCTCAAATGTAAATGAATTGGACACACAGACAAATCAGGTGTCACACATTTAACAGGAAACATTGTATTCTGGTTATATTTACTGCTGATATTATTGTTACAATTTAGCTTACAGTTCTTTTCATTCCTTGGTTTATGGTTCTCGTATAGTCAAAATGCATACTTCAACAACGAGATATAATGGATTTTATCTTGCAACATTTTTTTATCTATGGAGATATGTTTTGGCATTTGACTTCCTAAATAATACACATACTGTAAGCATGCCCTATGGGACAAATCACATTTTTTTTACTCTTGAATAAAATATGCATGAACAAATTGTGTTGTGCAATTCTTTAACCCCCCGGTGGAGTCATTAATGTGCTCTTCTACTCTGCAGTTGTTTGTGGGTAAAACCCTATAATACTCGAGCCAGTTAAAAGTATTATACTTGATTTTTTTTTTCTCGCATTATAATGGTATTCTGGGATCCTAAATCTGATGTAACTAAATGCAGTTGCTAATATAATTGTATAGCTCTGAAGATTTAAAGAGACCCTTCCCATGTAGCGGTTTGTATTAAATCAAACGGAATTATGCATTGAGGCCTAATGATGACTGAGTCATTTTAATATTTCTTTGCAGAAATATTAAACTGTTTCCTTTTTTCCTCAAAATAATATTTCACAAGGTGGTAAACATCAATTTGTGGGTATTTCTACACACTAATCATTCAGAAAATGTATAGTGTGAACTGCAAAGTTTTAGTTAGTCAGTACTTTGACTTTTTTAATTGTGATTTTGTAAAGCAACATTATTGACTGGAGAAAATAGCTGGGTTTGAACCTGATAGAAAATCTTAGATATTGTCAAAAAAAAATTAAAGATGCCACACCCAAAAATTCAGAAAGGGTTACAAGCATAACCTCAATGATACATTGCATTGATGCAGTAACTCATGCAAGGACCCCAGATCAAAACTGTACAGTATTCCCTATAGATTAACACATAGCTTTATTAATTTTCTGTAATATTTTTGGGAGAAACATTTCATTTTATTTACATATCACATTACAAAGAAATGTGTGATAGCATTCATTACTTCTCATTTGAACTGTCAAATTGATAAATTAATACATCTGAACAAAATAAATAAAATGTTCGACTAGGATTTAATTTATGGAGATATTGATGGTAGTACTACTAATAAACCAGTTTAAAAACAATAACAAAGACAGGATTGGCACATTCCAATACCGAATATTTTTAGAAGTTATAAATTAATAAAATCAACAAATTTGTTTCTTATTTTTACTGAAAATTGCACCTGATGGTTTTGCTCAATAATTGATATCAAGTCATTAAGACGTCAGGTGTATTTCCATATTCCTCACTAACGTACACAAAACAAACTCAACGGCATTTTAACTTGTCCATTAAGGATTTCCAACAGATTTCGCCCGTTAAACCGGAAATGACATCACACCGTCTCGCCTCCACCTTTTTTTGTCAATCAAAATCTCTGGACATCACAGTAATGTTTTAAGAATGCCCGTTTTAAGCGTCGATTGAAGCCATTCATCGATCATTTCCGACGTCTTCCGTGTGAATTATGGCCCAGCCGCAGCCCGTTGCGGCCGGACTCCGACCACCGCCGGCCGGGGGCCAACGGTTCTGGGACTGTGAGTGACTGCAGGCTGCGCCGAGCTAACGTTACGCAGCTGTCTGTAACCGAAGCTCGTCGCTTCGTCTTCTTCGTATCTCTCCTTTGCCACATAATATTGACGCACATTGTTCCGGCCCAGAGCTGCTGAGTAACCCCCCTAACAGCTGTCATGGACAAAGACGAAGCAGACCGGCTCATAGAGAAGGCCAAGCTGTGTTTACGGTCGGGCCGAAAGGATCGGGGACTGCAGCTCCTATATGAGGCGCAGAAAATCTACCCCAGCACCAGGGCCAGAGGTAAAATTAGCTGACGCACGTTTTCTATAACTGCACTCTGACTTGCTGACCGGGGAGCTTATTCCGGGCCTGTGTGGTGCTGGGAAGCTGGTTTAAAGTTGTTGTGGATCCAGAAAAGCCATTTAGATATGAGTGAGCTTCATGCTAAAATGTAGATCTGCTTGTTCGTTTGCGGCTCCCACGCCGCCCCTCACAGTAGCCTACTTAGAGACCATCAGGCAGAAATGTATCAAAGTCTATTTATTCATGCATTGTGCAGCAATGGCATCCAAACTGCATTATTGCCATACAGGATTCCTCTAGGCACGACAGTGAATGCATAAATAATGCAGCTTGGGAAAAGCTTAGATGTCTCCACTCTCATACTTTACATTAAAGTCCCATACATTTCTGATTAGGATCCTACGTGATGGACGTCAGTGTCATCTTATTAATGCAGATCCTTTAGATCAGGCATTCTATGTATTCTTAAAAACTGGAATTTGCTTCTATCGTTTTCCAGGTGTGAGGAAGTATGGAAAAAGTCAAATCTGAGACAATATTGTATAGTCAACCTCTCCTTGAACAAAAGTTTGTTAATGCTTAATTAAGACAATAGTTGATATTGCCTTTACATATTGTAATCCTATGATTTGCAACAATTGATTGCCCAAAAGAGCTTTGATTTATCAAACTGATTTGAGTCAAAGTTGAAGAATTAACTGTTTGTTCTCCTTCTTAATTCACCCTGCTTTGTGCAATATTGGATACAACAAAACAGAATACTAAGCATAATGTTACCACCACCATGCTTATGGGTTGGTAAAGTGCTATTAGATTTGAAAGACTGTTGTCTCCTTAAAGCACCCTTCTTGTCACTGTGTGTCATGTGACCATAAGCTTTCTCTCCAGAAGGCCTTTTTCATGTGTCAATAAGATATCAATTTTTGAGCAGCTCTTCTTTCTTGGTCTGAACCCACTCAACCATGTTTATGCTGAACCTTGCCGTACTGTGAACAGTGATTCTGGTTCTAGCATGTTGCAGTTAATGAGTCTGTTTGGCCTCTGAGTTTTTCCTCATCACCATAAGCATTATTCTTAAATTTTAAGGAGACCATGTTTGTAAGATTGGGGAAATTTGAGCACTGTTTGGTGCTCCAACACAACAAGAATCCTAATATTTAAAAACAATTAAAAACAAAAATGTGCTGCTTAATTCTATCCTGTACTTGCTAATATTCATATCTGTCTCTAAGACTTGTTGACTCTGTCATTGTTGAGTGCAAACATTTGTGTTACTGGTTACAGTGCTGATAGACGCCATACTGAGAAATGGAGGCAGTGCGTCCCAAGAAATGAACCACATGCCTCCGCCCACAGGCTGGAGGGATGAGGACATCGGAAACCAAGAAACAAGGAACATGAATCATGATGAAAAGAAGACTTACACTGAGGAGCAACGCCAAGGTGTTTTCAGGTGAACAGTTCGTCTTCCTTGAGTATGCCAGATGTTAAGTGATGCATTTTGAACATTTTCAAGGTTCCTTCCCACAGTGCTTCTTGCTTCTCTTCTAACATCCAGCATGCTTTGTTAATGCAGAATAAAGAATTGCAAGGACTTCTATGAAATCCTTGGTGTTGACAAAAATGCCAGTGATGAAGATCTGAAGAAGGCATACAGGAAGTTGGCTCTGAAGTTTCACCCAGACAAGAATTTTGCCCCAGGAGCCACTGATGCATTCAAAGGTACTTGTAAAACACAACACTAAACATTCTTTTGGGGGAAATAGAAAGGCAATTTCAAACTTGTTGTCAATAATTATCTTAAATTCATTGTTCTGAGGACCCAGTTGATGTAGGCTGGGTCTAAAGACCAGAAATGAGTGGCTATGAAATTCAGATTTATTCTTCACATTTCCATAGCACATAGCAGTAACATGCTAAAGATAAGTTGGCTGCATTTCGAGGAGCTGTTAAGTTTGAACAGCTTTTCTCAGCCTTCAAATGCTGCCTTGGAAGGATGCAGCCCATGATTTTTTTTGGCATTTACTAACAGGATTTTCTTTTCCCAGTATTGCCATGTTTTTATCTTCTCATCTTTCTCTATTGGTGTTGATAACAAGCACAGCTTTCTTTTAACAGATTTTTTCTTCTTGCTGCTCTTTAAGGACAGAAATTACACTCTCTCCATTTACTTATTGTGTGATCTCTTAAGATAGTTGGCTATACTTGACTCTATTTAGGAGTATCACAGTAAAAAGGGATCTGAATACAAGACTTTTCATATTTTATGTGGTAAAATAAATGTCTTTCTACTTCACAATGTAGTGGTTTGTCAAATATGTTTTCAATAAAATAGACTAAATTCTTCGTAATGTGACACAATCTTAGAAATACTAATAATTTTTTTCTCACCATAACTTCTAAATCAACAAATCATTTTTACTCCTGGTTCTGAGTCTCTTCCTTTTAACGCCATCAGTCTGAAATGTAGGCGAGTCGTCCACTGGCAAGATGCTGCATTATGTTTTCACATGTACATCCACACTGATAAACGTCCTGTTGTACGTGAGGAACGGACAGCACTTATCCTGCCATTTCCTGTTATTGACCACACAAAGCGCTTTTACACTCCAAACCGCAGTCAACCATTCACAGGGTGATATGTGTGGGTTCACTCAGGGTTCAACATGTTGCCCAAAGATAATGTGGAGGGAAGCTGAAATCAAACTGACAACCTACCTAAGGAGCAATGACAAGATTTTCTCAATGTGAATACCCAGTTCTTCAAACAGTTATCTATCAGGGTTTTCAAACAAAACTCTCCCTTCCTTAGGAAGCCACAGGAAAGATATTGGGTGATATCTAGTAAAAGAAAATAGTTTTTATAAAGTTTGCAGAAATTCAGTACAGTCAAGAAGTGGGATGACCAGATCAAACTAGACCAATGTTTCTCAAACTTTTTCAGATTGAGGACCACTTAACCCATTTAACAAACACCTGACTTACCTGACTTGAAATTGCCCCTGCAATAACGCATCTTATATCACTTATTGTTGTCTTCTCTGTTCATCTTAATGAGAAGTGTGGTGCTGTTTTGTAAATAAGACTAGCCACGAGTCGACGAACTAAATCTGTGTGTCAGTGGTATATCATAATAGTGTTCTAAAAAGTTCTACAACTTACCTTAAAAAACTGAAAAATGTTGTTGCAAATGTTAATTCTTCCGATCGTATAAGCAGTCATGGCATTGTTCTCTTAAGCCACCTATCCATTATTATTTTTAAACACAATCTTGTGGTAAGCTAACTGTAACTGTAAGCAAACGTCCCACAGATAAACTGTTGTGTACATGCAGTAACTTGCAAACCACCAGAGGGCGCACACGGATCACCAGTGGTCTGGGGACCAGAGTTTGAGAATGACTTAACCCTCGGTATTATTAGAATTTTATGAAATGCTTTGTTTCTCCCAACAGCCATTGGTAATGCATATGCAGTGCTGAGCAACCCAGAGAAGAGGCAGCAGTACGATCAATACGGAGAACAGAGTCCAACCTCAAACGTACCCCATCGCTCCGGCAACAGCCGGCCCGGACACTACCGGAACTTTTACAGAGACTTTGAGGCCGACATTTCCCCCGAGGAGCTCTTCAACATTTTCTTTGGTGGAAGGTTTCCTACAGGTGTGTGTGAAGGAGTTATTTTTAACAGATTATGTTTCACATAACTTTAAGAATAGTATATACTGTTTGACTGTGCAGGAAACGTTCACGTATACACCAACCAGGGCGCCTCCTACTCTCAGTTCTACCAGCCTCGTCGGCGGCGGGCGCAGGAAAGGCGGGAGGAGGTGGTGGAGGAAAACCAGAGTCAGGTGAGTGGCTCACTCCACGTAAAGACAATCCCTTGTTAACAGCTTCTGTGTCACAATGTCGTCTCCGCCTGGAGAGGCAGCGGTGCTTTCATTAGCCATGGGTTCTGATGGACTGTGGATGTTTTTAACAAGGGTGCAGACGTCGCATTCATTGGATTAAAAGATTACATCAGAGCTGCATATGTAATGCACTTGAACGTGAAGAATCCAATCAGCCTACGTGATTTACAGTCTTTCTTTTATCTTCCCTCAGAACACCTTCACAGCTCTTCTGCAGCTTCTGCCTGTGCTGGTGCTGATCCTCATATCAGTCTTTACTCAGATGATGGCAACTAATCCGCCCTACAGTCTCTTTTACAAGCCGTGAGTTTAGAAAAATCATATTCCAATCCACCTTAGATGCATGGAGTATATTTGAATTTGCTTACTTTTTTTTTGTGGCGTCAGGGCGATGGGACTGGTGGTGTCCAGAGAAACACAACACATGGGTGTACCGTACTATGTGGACAAAAGTTTTCAGAAAGAGTACCGTGGGGCAGCACTGGAGGAACTAGAGAAGAGCATCGAGAGCGATTATATTGAACACTTGCAGAGCAGCTGCTGGAAGGAGAAGCAGCAAAGTAAGTGAGAGTCCTTATCAAACTTGATTAAGAACCTTGTAAAAGTAATTGCTGTGATCCAAAATTATCTGTCAATTGTTACTGACATTTTGGTTTCCCACCTTAAATGTAAATATGGTGCCAGTGTAGATTTTCAGGGTAAAAGAGGGTGCAAGGGAATCTCAAAATGAACATTCAGGCTTACAGTGGTGTACATGAAGAACTGAAACAAGTTAAATTGAATAACTGAACTATTCTATCTGTACATTTAGGCAGTTTCATCGCCCAGTGACTTCAGGTAAAGCTGTGTAAAAGCAAGCTGGTCACAGATAAAAGTTTAGTCAGAGGCGTCTTTTCTTAAGTTATTTTGCTTTTCCTTTTAATTAAAGCTAACACATAGTTCACTAAAATTTGATTTAAAAAATGCATGCCAAAGACTTTTTGTTATTTTTGATCAAATACTCTTTCTGTTGCTCTTTTTCAGAATCAGACTTGGCAAACTTGGGACAGCTTTACCGAGACGAGCGATTAAAGCAGAAGGCAGAGTCCATGAGGCTGGACAACTGTGAGAAGCTGCAGCGACTGGTCGGCCGCCTCAGGGTCAAATGAGGACAGTTTGAGAGGAGGAAACGTTTCTTTAGCGAAATGTGTAATTTACCCATTCTGGCCACTTTGTTGTGACATGTCTTTGGGGACGGTGCAGCCAGTGGGAGATTCCACTTCTGAAAACAACGTGCCTTCTCTTCGTCGGTAGGAAAATAAGTGTTGCACTGTGGTGTTAGCAGCAGGGAGTGGAAACTCGCTCTGGCAGGGTGTATGATGTCTCACAGCCTTCAAACTTTCTTATAGAAATGGCATGACATATGCAGTCTCCCCTTGGGGCTACAAAGGCAGTTGTATGTTTGGGACATACATGTTTTATCTGTTTAGGTTTTGTGTTTTCTTGTGTCTTTGTTGAAATTTTTGATCTATTTATTTGGTAGATAACAGGGTGAATGTTAGTGAGGATTTTCCAGTAGAAATTAGTACAGAGACCTAAATAATACTGCAGTGTTTGGACAAATCAGCACATATATATTGTGAAACGATGAAGGACCTTTTAGGTGTTTAAAACCAAGACAGATCCAACAATTAAAGCTTCTGCAAGGAATCTTGGTCTTTCTTGCTTCCATAAGCACTACTGGTACTGGTGGCTGTGTAAGGATTATTTCCAGCTCTTTTGGAGGTTGCATTTCAGTCTTGTTTATCTGATTTATGCTGATGTCCTGAACATTGGGAGCTCATATAAAGGCAGTATGCACAAAGTTAATGTTTGGAATTGCACACAGTGCTTTGCAGAAGTATTCATAGTTAAATATCAATTTGTCACACTGCAACCGCAAACTGGTATTTTAATCAGATTTAAATGATAGACCAACACATAGTAGTGCATATTTGAGAAAAAAGCAGGAAAATTAGTCATGGTAATTTTGATAATTTTTATTTTTTTTTTGGGGGGGGGAAATGTGGGTATATTCATTCAGGCCTCATGAGTCAATACTGTGCAGCATGTGGTTTGTACTTTTTCTTTGTGAAATGGTTCAGTCCCAGTCAAACTGGATGACGAGCATCTGTGAAAAATCAGTTTTTATGTTTTGTCACAGATTCTCTTCTAATTTACATCTGCACTTTGACTGAGCCACTCAAAGTTTGTTTAGATTCAATTTTATAATGGAAAATTAACTTCCACCGCCATGTCTTTGTAGGTTTACAAACTGTGTTTTCAATTGATGGGCTGGACACTTGTCTTTGATATGAATATTGTTTTAAATCGTTTATTCCTAAGCCATTAGGCATGCTCCGAGGTCTTCATGATGCGTTTGGTCGCTAATAATCTTTAGCAGATCTACACAGAACAACTGTAGATGCACTCAGATTATGTTACACACAGGGACACTCATTCAGGTTACGCTAGATTTGTTTAGGGGCATCAAAAATATCACTGAAAGCAAATGCATGCGTCTATCTGAAATAAACATTTCAGATGCTTATTTATTCCACTTCACAATTATTTACTACTTTGTGTCGGTCTGTCAAATAGAGGTACGTTAAAGTTTATGGTTGAAATTTAACAACTGCGGCATCAATACTTTTGCAAGCACTGTATTATAAATATACAAAGATTTATTTTCTTTTCACAAAAAGGCTTACCCATCAAAAAGTGTTTTCTAAATATTGCTTCCCTATTTTGTACAGATCTTTTATAAAGGAGAAATTAATTAATATAACCAGATGGGCCTAAAACTCCTCTTTTTTAACTAGATGAAACCAATTTCATATTGTGGACATTTGGGGTGTTATAATTTTATTGAATAGTATGCTGACATTGTGTAAATCTCTTGTAATATTAATCCAAAATCATACTTCCGTATAGCTGAAAGTCTGACTTGTTGCCATGCACTGCACTTACCAGACTGCCTTAGCTGTTGTACTTCTGAAATATTCAGGTTCATCTTAAGCACTTTTAAGTTAAAATCATCTTTTTTTTTTTTTTGTTCCATACTGTGACAATTGCATGAATCCCAGAAGTTTTTATTATTATTTTTATTTTATTTTCTATTGCATATTTATTATTTGACTGTAAATGTAAATGAAGTAGAATATTCAGGTTCACGCTGTTATCTTACAACACTTAAATCTAACTGTGACAGAAAACACAAGCTAGGTTTCAAATGTATAATCACAAGTTATGTTGCTGAATTGACTGTAAGCTGTCAGCCAAAAATACATGAAAATTAAAGCTGTAACTAGTATTGAAACATTTCCTGTCTCTTTTAATTCCATTGTGATATCAGGTTCACTTTGCCGAATGGAAAGTCAACAGGGGACCCTGTTTTAAGAAAATATGAATACGATCAAATTAGATAAATTTGAGCCAAATTCAGCCTGAGCTACACGTTCGACTTAATCTCAAGGATACAACGACTGAAGGAAACTTCCACAGCAAAATAACATTTGTCACTGAATATTCTTGATTTATTTAGATTAAAGGGAGGGTTACAAATATAGTTTATAATACGGCTTGAGGTAAGTCTATCTATATTCCTGAAACTGTGACTTTAAATTGGTCTACTGGCAACAAAGACTCAGCAATTTTGGGGGATTTGAAAACTTCCTATTGCGTAAATATTACAACTTTGTATGGAAATGTCTGCAGCAATCAATGACTTATTTAGCAATTTATGAGTCTTTTTATCCACCCATACGTCTGTCAAAATATCATTTATCGGTCTTTACATCTATTCATAAATCCTTCAGTCAATCTTCTATCCCTCCTTACATTTGTCTTTCATTCGTCAATGTAACTGTTTCTCTGTTCATCCAGCTAACCAGTTTATTATCCATTTGCTTACTATCTATCCATTATTGAGAATTCATATATCCATCCTTGTTCATGCATCCTTCCGTATTTGCTATCAGCAATTCATGCATCCAGCAAAAATGGCCGCACTATTTGTTCTTCCTGTCATCCATCCATCCATCTACTTCTAAACTAGAACTGGACTCGTATTTGCTGTAAGGATAATTTTTATTGTGTTGTAACGTTTTCTGGTCCACAAAACAAAAATATTAATGTCACATCTTCTCAGTACACTGAACATAAATCCAAGCAAATCTCATAAGAGTTACTGTTTCACAGGAAATTTCACAAAGGCAAAAATCAATGCTACACAATCAAAACCACCATATTCATATGTTGTTGTTTTTTTTTTTAAATAAGAGGCTAAAAATGAAATTTCACACAAAATGTTTGTTTGAGATGCAAAAAGTGCCCTTCTGCTCTGCAACTTTAGGGTGCAAATATTTAACCAGAATCTTTAAACCTTTGGTTTTATATATTACAAAAACGCGCACGCACACACACATACAGTTCATGAATTAAAAACACCAAACTGGTTTAATTTTAACACAACTGCAGGCAAGAAGTAACTCATATCCTTATCTATGGACCACACCTATTAAAACATTATGAGTAAGTGAATTTTAAAGGTTTTAGTGTTCCAGGCGGTTGAACGTAAGAAGCAGGTTTAGTCTGCAGTAACATCAATGAAAGGTTTGACCTGGTCACACAGAATACCCCACAGTGATCTGGGATTATACAGAATATAATCCATGTCTGAATAGTTGTTTTAGAGCAGACCCTTCCCAAGCTACACTCTGTCCAATCATCCTGGACAGCAAGTCAAAAACAGCCGATCTGCACTCATTCATGTCCTTTTGCTTCGCAAACTCAACTGACAAGATTTTCCTTTGTGGATTTCACTTCTTCATCTTGAGGTCGGCCTCCATGGCACTACGGCGCCCTCTGGTGCCACCGTCCTGTCATCAAAAAGCAGCATGTCGGAAACCTCGAATCTGGATTTGAAGTGCTAAAGGAAATGTTTCTGAAGGTAATTGATGTTTACTTACAAAAAGAGAAAGGAGAAAGGCCGGCGAGGACATGGAGACAGTGTCCTGTAACATAAAAACAATGCAAAGGACTTACTTTAGACCAAATTTACTGAACCATGTATAAACTGCTAAAGAAACATTTGTTTTTTTTTGTTCCAGATAGTTCTGAAACAACATGTCAACTAGTTTGACTTGGGAACTACATTCAACAAATAGTGTTCCAGATGTTTATTTTTATTCTTTGTAATCAGTTTAAATGCATACTGTAAAAAATACACAGCTACCTCAAAATAAATAAATGTTAAGTCATTAGAAATATGCTTATGTCTCTTTCTGGTCTCATTTTCTCCACTTTTGTCTTAGTTCTAGTGAAGCACCTTGTCAGTGGAGTCCTGTCTGCGTGTGCTGTCGCGGCCCCTCAGGCTCTTGGCGCTGATGCCGGACTCAGACGTCTCCATGATGAGCTGTGTGGCCAGGAACTGTTGGATCTGCTCCAGGACGTCACGCTGCATCTCCAGAGCCATGTGGTACACATCGTGGTCCAGCCCGTTGTACATGACCGCGTTCTGAAACATCAGCATGATGTCCCTCTGAAACTCCGCAGTGGTCCGTATTAAGCCGGTCTCGATGTTCTTTTTGATGGTGGCCAGGTCCATGGGTCTGCAGAAGAAACCACCAGAGAGACGAGTTGTTGAGTCTGAGTGATGGGATTTCTTTAATTTCTTAGAATTTGCAGGTGGATTTAGTGCTGACCTGTGAACAATACTGTGGTATCCTGGAGCAATTTCATCTGTTACTGGCTGAAGAAAGACATTTGCATACCTGCAACAAAATAAATTCATCTGTTGTATGAAGGCTTTAGAAAACGTCAGTGAATAAACAACTTATGAAGACCAAGAAACACAGCAGGAATGTTGGGGATGAAGTAGGAGAGAGTCAGGGTTTGGTTGAAAAGCTGTGAACATCTCACAGATCAATTCTCAACCTACCAAGACATTTCAGTCCACCAAAACGGAAAATAAAGTAGTTTTCCAAGGTTTTCTTTTATGTTGAAGTGGCAAGACGTAAACCAGTTACCAGAGAACTATGAGTTCCAATTTGAGTTTGTTTCAAGTGCTGGTAAATGTAGTAGAAGGTACTCCAGTCAGATGAGGCAAACGTGAATTTCTAGCCAACATACAAAAAACCTGTGTAACCTGTGTATGAATGCTTGTGCAAGGCACTGTAAGTGTCGTTTCCTGACCTGTGATTAGCTGCTGCTCGCCACACCAGCATAATGGCTTTCTTCCAGATCTTGTGAGCCTGCAGAGCTTCCAGGTCCTCGCTGCACACCGAACTGCACAGTGCAGGTAGAAAAGAAGAAGAAATGCAGATGTCAGCAGGAAGAGGAAACTGCAACACCTCTCCGCCGCCACACGCTGATGACAGTCATTCCTTCGCATGTCCCTCGACGTGTTCCACTCACAACTGTGATGACGCGGGGCTGCTGGGGATAGAGTCCGCTGTGTTGTGGAGCTGGAGGGACGAAGACGCCGTATGGAGGCTGTATCCATCCTCGCTCTCGCTGGCCGCAGGTTCCAGCTCCATTTCGCCGTCGGGTTCAGATGAGAATTCCTCCACCCCGTCACCCTCTTCTTCCTCGCACAGCTCCGGTCCCAAGACCTCGCTGTCTGCTTTTGACCCCGAAACGTTCTCTCCTTCCTCTGCTCCAAGTCCATCGTCTACCTTCGTCTCCTAGGGCAAAAATGAAGACACATGCGGAGATAAAACTGCGTTTGAATAGAAGAATGCATCGTGTTTGTTTTACCTGGGAATCCCAGTCTGCTTCTTGTTTGTCTTCTAATACTGAGTTTGCTAAGACTGCAAAGATGAATAACAGGAAGGTTTGTTTATAAAAGTAACTGTTGAGGTTTTAATATGGGGCTGTGAAAGTGTTTTATCCTCAGATTTCTTCTGTTTTTGCTTTGTTGTTCAACTAAAATGTAACAAAAGGCCTTATTCCCTTAATAAATGAATAATCAGCTTTTTGCATTTACTCAGATAATTTTTATCCAATATAAATTTTTTTTTGATGATCTAAAACATTAAAGTGTGACAAAAAATGCAAGAAATAGAAGAAATCTGTAAGGTGAAAAACACTTTTTCACACCACTGTATTTATGTCTGTGTCTACATACCTCCAAAGGTTTTTTCCAGTTTTTGTGGTGGTTGCTTTTCACCTTCACAATCTGTGCTACCATCTTTTGACATGTGTTTACTTGAGCCTTCCTGTCCCTCTGCCTCTCTCGCTCCGCTGCACTGTGAAGGCGTCGCACTGTGCTCCAAAGTCTTCGAGCCGCATGAGGAAGAGGGAGGAAGGCTCTCCAGTTCCAGGGGAAATGCTGACAGATTTTTATCTTGGCTGCTGTACAGAGAAGAGAGCGACACTTCTGCACTGCCCTCCAGGATCCGGTGAGTGGGGTGAGGTTCTTGGGCCTGTAAAGGCCCGGCGTCCCAGGCCGCAGTCAGAGCATGATCGTTCTCCTCGCAGAGGGACAGGGCGGCCTCCACGGCGGCAGCATCCAGCGCCTCTGCGGCCTCATCCGCCTGCAAAGCGGGGAAACTTCAGTCAAACCAAAAATCAGAAAAAGCAGAGAAGTAAGCTATTTAGCTATATGTTGAGACATTCAGGCTGCGAGAGAAAGCAAGATTTTCAGCGGAAAACACAACGGCTGATTGAAGAACAGCAAAATGCCTTTGTTCTATTATTTTTTAACTTTTAAGCTGTCAAAATCCTGAAATAGAAAACATTGGTTTTAATTAAAACTGCAGTATGTAACTTTTATGAACAATATTTTTTGTTAAAACTGTCACCATGTAGTGACAGCAAAACGTTTTTCACTTTGTGAAAAACTATTACCATCTGTAGAAATGCACTGCTACTGGTCAGACAACCAATCAGAGCCAGGAGGCGGGTCTTAGTGCTGTATTTCTGCAGATGGCAAAACCGAGCAGAGCACACTGTCCGCAGAATTAAAAATAAAATACTGTTTGAAAATATTTCCTGCACACAATTATAAACAGATGTATGAGAATTAATTTGATCATTTAGCTTAATTTTCTCTATTCAAATTCACATTTTGTAATGTTGGACGTATATTTTGAGAGATGTAAAGTGACCAGAGAATAGGTGTATTTTTTAAATTATTTTTAATGTTTATATATTTCATTTTATTTTGTCATATAGATTTAAATTGTGTAATGAAATCTGGTAAAAAGTTTAATTTCCTTTTAGGTGGATCCACCTGTACATCGTCCAGTTTCAATAAACTAACCTAACAAACAAGGGGAAATATTAATCAGGAAACAAAATATCCGTGGATCACAA